TGCTCACTTTGAGCCACCGCTAATTAATTGGTAGTTAATAGGAGATGAGAGTCCCACAGACTTTTCCTGCTCAAGGCTGAGCTTTGTTTTTGAGAAGACTACAACTTTGTATTGAGGACAGCTCAGCTTCTTCCTTGTATTTATCATGACCAACCACATTTCATCAAGACAGCTCCCAATCAGTAACTGTAATTAGTTCAACAATAGATATTACACCTTATATTAAAATTAGTCCTGCTGTGAGATTCTAATCAGGCATTTCTTCTCTCAGGAACGAGCATGAGAGATACCGATGTCCCAATATTTCTAGCATCGTGTTGTTGATATCACAGTGTTCTTTTGGGTTGATTCAACATTGTAATCAGTAGACTAACAGCTCTTATTTCCTATTCCTTATCTCCCAGCATCCTCTCCATCAGTTTCACCAACAGCAAGTCCTCAGAGGCAGCTCTGGAATTTTTCTATGGGTCTGATGCATTCATGCTTCTGCATTATTTTCTATTCTTTTGGTTCTGTTCAGAAAATTTGAAGTCCCTTGTAATGACAACATTCAGTCAGTCTGATGGAAAGGGACACTTAAAAGGAAGTGAGGCCTCTCCCACCTTGAAGCCTTGCACCAAAAGCCATGTTTGTGAGCTATGTGGGATATGAATATTCCAACCTTGGCCAAGCCCTCAGTCAACAAAGACAATCTCTTAAATGGAACCTTGTATGCAATCCTGAACCATACAACTCTAAACTACTACCTGACCTATAGAAATTTAAGAAATCATAAATGGCTCGGGACAGCATGAGGCACATGTTGTGGTCTCCAAGTCTCCCAACAGCTCTACTGCAAAGATGGTTAACAAACCCAAAACCAGAAGGACTTTCTGTAAGAAGTGTGGCAAGTATCAGCCTCATAGTGACCCAGTACAAGAAGGGCAAAGATTCCCTGTGTGCCCAAGGGAAGAGGTGCTATGATCAAAAGCAAAGTGGCTATGGTAGACAGACAAAGCCAATATGAAAGCTAAAACCACCAAGAAAATCATACTGAGGCTTGAATGTGTTGAGCCTAACTGCAGATCCAAGAGGATGCTGGCCATTAAGAGATGCAAGCATTTTGAACGAGGAGGAGACAAGAGAAGAGCCAAGTGATCCAGTAGTAAACTTTGAACTTTTTTGGTCTTAATTTTGGGGAAGATTTTGAAGGTATAGAATGACCTGGTAGAAAACTAAGAGAAGACAGTAAATACCCCTCAAAAAAAAAGAAACAATAAATGTCTACTGTGTAAAGCTGTTACATTATAGAGTAATGCGTTACAAAGAGTAATTAAAACATCTGTGAAGAGATGCTGAAACTCATTAGTTTTCAAAAGACCTGAAAATTAAAATAATGAAATATTACTTTAGGCTGGGTGCAGATGGCTCACACCTATAATTATAGCTACTCAGGAGGCTGAGATCTGAGGATCGAGGTTCAAAGCGAACCCATGCAGAAAAGTCTATGAGACTCTTATCACCAGTTAATCACAGAAAAAGCAGGAGGTGGAGCCGTGGCTCAGGTAGTAGAGTGTTAACCTGAAAGAAATATTACTTTAGACTAGTACCCCCATCAGAACCTAGAAATTTTAGTACTATATATACATTCCAACTAAATTCTTTGTATCTACAAAGGGAAATGAATGGTATTTGTGTAATAAAGAGTATAAGTAAAATGAATGTTCATCAATATACACATTAATAGATAAAACAACGTACATTACAGCAGTAGAAACAAGAGATTAGCTGTGACATAGCTACATAGATTGGCTTTAGAGGGTCAAGATCAATTTTTTTAATGACAGATTAAAAAATCACTATGAATGTTAAGACTGCAACACACAGATTTGAGTAAACTGCAGTATTTTGTGGCAAGAAAATGCTCCCAACACAATAGAAAAGGCTATGTTAATTTATTTTGTGACTATTAGGAGATATGGTAAAAATTACATGAATTGAAATTCCAGACAAGACAGTAATATTTTAAGTGAGATGACAACCTCCAACATAATTTTTACCCTAGAGGAATCTTCTATTTCTGAACACCAGCTCACAATAGGCCTTGATCCAAGCAGAGAGTCTCATCAGAGCTAAGCACCAGTGGTTCATACCCACTGGTTTAGAAAGCTGATATCTGAGGTTCATAGTTCAAAGTCATTCCTGGCAGGAAAATTTATGGGATTCTAATCTCGTTAACCAGAGAATAAATAAATCATTAAAGCTTTCAATGATTATCACTAGGATAGAATAACAGTTGAAAACTTGAGGAACTACAAACATATGGTCAGTTTTGCCCACAGTACATTTTCTATCCACTGGAGTTGTATAGACGTGGACTAGAACCAAAGTGAAATATACTCTCCCTATAGTGCTTAAGAAACAACACTGCAGAAGGAGGAGCTAACACCAAACTTACTGATACAAACTCAGTAAGCCATCAAAATACTTGCTGGAGTTTGATGCTCCCTGCAGCAGGAGGCTTAGCAGCTAAATGGATATCGTCAGAAGAGATAAGAAAACTTCTCACAGTCTTTCTGAAGCTTAAGCCCTAACAGGCTTTCAACCAAAAATCTGGAAACTTCAGGCTTCCAAATAGAGAAATATAAGTGTACACTGAGTCTTCCTAAAATCAACACAGGCCTAACCACACTTAATTCCTCATTGGAGCTACATGCAAGTAAACCAACATTAAACACTTGACAAAAACACAGTTAAAACAGAAATGACAATAGGGGATAGACCATAGGGGGAAGAACATACAAAATAAACAAAAAAGCACATAGAACATTAAAACAACAATAACAAAGAAAAATCTCCTATGTCTATATCTTGGGGTTCATTTCACTTAGCATCATCTTATATGGTCATATGTATATAGCTTTTGAGCTTTTCTGCTCATCTGATAAGATTATCCTAGACATATACTAATTATTGCAAATAAGGGAAACCATGGGACTTATATTTCTTTGGATCTGACTTACTTCACTTTAATATTTTTTTTCCAAATCTTTCCATTTCCTAACAAATACATTTATCTAATTTGGGGAGGTGAAGGGGAATAACAAAATGCTGAAAAAAGGACACACAATGATCCATTGCAACAATGATACTAAGACACTATGTTGGACATGAACTTTACAACTTCGGGGGTGGGGAGGAGTAGGTAAGATAGAGGAGGGAAGGGATAGTAGGAAAAAAACAAAGGAGGGGTAACAATGTTCGACAAGAAATGTACTCATTAGGGCTGGGAAGGTGGCTCAGTGGTAGAGCGCTTGCCTTGCATGCTCGAGGCCCTAGGTTCCATTCCTCAGCACCACATAAGCAAAAAGAAAAAAGCTGGAAGTGGCACTGTGGCTCAAGTGGTAGAGCGCTAGCCTTGAGCTGAAGAGCTGAGGGACAGTGCCCAGGCCCAGAGTTCAAGCACCATGACTGGACCCAAAAAAAAGAAAAGAAAAGAAATGTACTCATTACCTTACTCGTGTACTGTAACCCCTCTAATACAGCATCTTTACAATAAAACAAAAATTTTTTGAAGATACAGAAATGAGGATGCAGAAAGGGTAATAGGGATGTAAGAGTCCCTGTGTTGTTCCCATGCCTGGATCATTCCACTAAGCATACATAAAACACCTCTAGTTGGTCTCTGGCTTGTGGGATAAAGAGAAGAGAGGCAGGCCAGGCCCAAGCATGTCAGTGCAGGAGGAAAGTTCAAGTAGAACTTACAACATACATCTTTTAATAATGGTAAGTAATAAACCAAGTTAACAAACTGTTGAATGAATATTTTACTTGTCTACTCTCACCCAGACACATACACACACCCTGAGCCTTCATAATGACCAGGAATGCCTGGATCTAATGTAGAATCTCCACACTATCCCAGGCCCCTGGCTCAATCTCCTTCTCTTCCTAATTCAGCTAAGTCCTATATTAGGGGGAAAATACAAATGCCTCAGAAGTGTGAGTGCTGTGAGAATACCTCTACTCTAAAACTCTTTCCGAATGCCCACATACAACCACTCCTTAGACCTGGGAATATACACTAGCAGTATAATCTTCACGTGAAAGGTGTTCCTGAAGAAAAGGATACCTTAGGTCCTAGAACCAGGATGAGGTAATATGGGCAGAAATTATAGTCAAGGAACTAAAAGAAATGTTGAGATAGTGAACAGGTTCTGTATAGGCTCAGAATGGCATATTCCTGTCCAAGGATCCCTTGCCTTATGAGAAGAACATAGAGAGTGAAGGCCAGTTAAGGGCCTTTATTTCCAAGTACAAGGACAATACTAAAGACCAAAGTGCCTTATTCTCCCAACCAACCTACCACACTGAACTGAGATGACACTTTATATGTTACCCAGCTTTTCTATCACTGTGATTTAAAAAAAAACTCCTGAGATAATCAACTTAAAAGAAGGAGAAGTTGGACTAAGGGTATAGTCCAGTGGTATAATGCTTCTCTATTTCCTGGCACAGGAATAAAGGAGGGGTAATATTTAATTGGTTCACACTTTCAGAGGTTCGAGTTTGTGGTCGTTCAGCCCTGTTCCTTTGGGGCTGTGGTTGCACTATACATCGGAATATAAATGCATAGCAAAAGAAGCTGGTTAACTTGAGGTAGACAGAAGGTAAAAGAGAGAGAGGAAGTGCTGAGAGTCCCAATATGCCCTTTGAGGCCATTCTTCCAGTGACCTTATTTCCTTTCACTGGGTCCCACCTCTTAATGTTCCACCAAACCATAGCACCCATCCTGCATGTTACAGTCTACCTAATACCTTCACATACACTACTCATAAACAACTACCACAATTTTGTAAGACAGTCTTATACTACCACTTGAGATGTGGAAAAATGATGCAAATGACATATTTTTAAAAATTAGCATTCCTAGCAGTCCAAGGGAGAACTTTTCCCTCCAACTTTCAGAGGTCATGCTCTTTCCTGTACTCAATACTACCATGCATCACCCAGCTAGAAGGGACTAAAAAAGGAATCAAACATTGTAAATATGTGGTTGAAATATTTTGGAAGACCAGAGTGGGGAAGAAAATTTAACATCAAATCCAGAGCAGTTTCTGGGAAAGAGCTGGGGCCAGGAGCAAAATTCATCACTAGAACAAAGACTACTCTACAAGGTTAGCAATCCTAGCTGAGTCCTGGGGGCTCCATTCCCACCTCAACCCACAAAATGAGGGCCTCCAGCCCATTTAAGCAATCTCCACCCAAATTCCACACCAATTATATGGGGGATCTGGTTCCACTGCCCTCTTTCTATCCACCACCCAGCTGAAAATACTTTATTAATGAGAGGGCAGTATAAAGCCACAGGTTACATCTATTTGGAGACAAACCAGAGAACAGCTTGGCACCAGCCACACATGAAGTCCGACCCTCCTCCAGCAAGGACCCATTGAGGCTGTACCTCCCTCTAATTACCATGGTGCCTGGCTCAGGGCCTGGGCAGTTATTTAGAGAATCGTTGCCTGTTTCTAGCATAGATATCCATGAAGCTGGTGCTGAAGCACAGTCTGCTCACAGCCTGCTTTCTAAAGCCATCATCTTCTCACTCTATCCCAGGACATCTCTTGCCACCTCTGCACCCCCAAGCTCTGCAGCATCATGTCGCTCGCACACACAGCCGCTGAGTATATGCTCTCTGATGCCCTGCTGCCTGACCGCAGGGGCTCCCACCTCAAAGGACTGCGCCTAGAACTTCCCCTGGACCAAATAGTCAAGTTTGTTGCTGTAGGCTTCCCCTTGCTGCTGATGTCCTTGGCATTTGCCCAGGAGTTTTCCTCTGGTAAGTTGCTTCAAATGGTAAGTGAAAGACCCTGCTTCATTCCTTTGCATGCCTTATAGTCGAAGTGAGACAGCTCCCACACTGAGTAGGCTTTATCACTTTGGGCTGGGCTGGATTACCAAAGGAGAAGACTGTACATATATTTGGGATACTAATAAAGCAAAGGCACCAAAGAAAAGTGTTAAAAGTCAACTCTGAAATTTTATAATAAAGATAATTAGTTGTAATTTTAGGATTAATGTATTGTACACCATTGTAATAATTAAATTTTATTTGAACCTTTATAGAGATAAGAGACATTGAGGTCCCATAATCTTTTCAGAATATGAAACTTCTTTGTCTTAGTCAACTATGCTGTGGTCTTGTTTTCCCTGAGCCCTTTTTCCACCTTCACTTCCAGGGTTACTGAGAATATATATTAAGAGCTGTGTTCAAAGATGCTGAATAAGCCAGGCACCGGTGGCTCACGCCTGTAATCCTAGCTACTTAAGAGGCTGAGATCTGAGGATCGAGGTTCAAAGCCAGCCTGGGCAGGAAAGTCCGTGAGACTCATATGTCCAATAAACCACTAGAAAACCAGAAGTGGCACTGTAGCTCAAGCGGTAGAGTGCTCGCCGTGAGCTGAAGAGCTGAAGGACAGGGCCCAGGCCCAGAGTTCAAGCCCTGCAACCAACAACAACAACAACAAAAAAGATGCTGAATTAGCTATCTGCCTCCTTTCCATAAACTTCAGATGCATATCTAGACAATAATACCCATATGTATACAGTGCTGTAGTCACTGGATTAACTCAGCAAAACTACTCCATCTACTAAAAGTGGACTCCCTCTATACTTTCTTTCTAGGCTATGCTTATAAGCTTACTACATTTCATAGTGAGATGTCCAAACTACCATTATATCTTCATTCATCTTCAACAAGGGGAAAGGTACTGTTTCCTAGCTCTGCCTTTATTCAGAGACTGATGAAAAACCAGAAGTCAGACTCCTCCAACCATGCTTTCCTTTCAATACCACTGGCTTGATCTCTCTCATGAGGTAGAATCAGAAGTTCAGGAAGTTAGTCTTCTATATTTTAGAATCTAAAAGATGTCACCTCTCTAGGAACAAAGGTGCCACTATCAAACACCAAACCCTCTGGTGCCAAATTGCAGGAGTCTACCTATAGGGGAGTTCAGGGGAGCTCTAAGGAAAAGACCACCAGTACTAGAAGGACAAATCAGTACATTAGTTCCACAGGTCAGTGAGTGTTATCCCATCATGTCCTGACTGTCCATGACACAGCAGAGCCAAACTCAGGAAACAAGCACAAGAAGACAGTGCCAAGACACTGAACTTGGCAGGGTTGTGGCCCCTTGGGTGGGGTTCCCATTCCTCCACTCCAATTCCAGGTTGTGTCAAAGCTGTATTCTTATTTCAGGGTCTCCAATCAGCTGCTTCTCTCCCAGCAACTTCAGTGTCCGGCAGGCCGTATTCGTGGACAGTTCCTGTTGGGACTTACTTGTTCACCATGAACAGGATGAGGCTGGCCAGTACAAAATCAAATCTCTCTGGCCTCACAAGGTAAAGTAGGCAGAGGTTCTATTTGGCTGGCTTTGTGGCTGAGTGGACAGGGACAGAGCAGCACCAATGTATTCCTCTCAACCTATTTCCCCTACTATACCTGCTTATTTTGGTTGCTGACTTTTGTGTTCCTGGCAGTTTTCAAATGCTGCTTGATCTGCATTTGCAACTCTTTCATCAGGAAGCTTTGTGACTGTGGGAGAGACTGTTGACAGATAGCTGTAGTTGAAGGTGAACCCTTTGGTCTATTTCATTAAGAAAAATCCATAATATCAGAGTCTGTTGTAATCTTTTCTTTTGGGCTGGTTGTTCTTCTCTGAGACACTCAGTCCATAATTTGTGGTTAGAAGCAAGGTGCAGGTTTGTAAAAAGCTTGGCTCTCAGCCCTCTGGTAACTCAGCTGTGGGTCTCACCATTCAGTATTCATTCGTTCAATCACCAACTGAGGATGGTTCTTCAGCCTTCTGTGTACTAAAGTGCAGAGTTCAATCTGATTTAATCTCTCCAGAAAATATGCTTCAAGCCCCTGTCATGGAAGGAAGGGTAGGAGCTTCAATGTATCACATTATAAAAAAGCTCTGCAGGTCTGTTGCTCATACAGATGTTCTAATTTTTCTTTTTTTTGGGGGGGGGGGATCTGGTCATGGGGCCTGAACTCTGGGCCTGGGCGCTGTCCCTCAGCTCTTTGGCTCAAGGCTAGCACTCTACCACTTGAGCCACAGCGCCACTTCTGGCTTTTTTCTTTTTGCTTATGTGGTGCTGGGGAATCGAACCCAGGGCCTCATGCATGCAAGGCAAGCGCTCTACCACTGAGCCACCTTCCCAGCCCCCAGATGTTCTAACTTTTCTACATACTAGTTTTCTGAGGCCTTCTATATTTCTGATTGCTGAAGCTTTATGGTTCTAAATAGCTTGCTTGTCCCTGCCTTCTAACCCTGGACACCTGCTCTCTAGCTTTCCACATTTTATTGCTCTTTTCTCTTCTCTTGTCTCCTCTCTTCCATCCTTAGAAAATTATGTCCTTTTTAGCTTTTATTGTCATCCTATCAGGTCTTATGCAGGCATAGTAATAATTTGACATCCAATTCACTATGATTAATCAGAAGTCACTTGTGATATTTTCTATGAATGGTCATTTACAAGACCTCAAAATGCCACAGTTCAATGACCAGAAACTCTATGAAGGAAACTCAAGAGACTTCTGTTACTGGCAGATCAAACACAACATAGGTGGTTACAAGTTCACAGGGTCACAGAGGAGATCTCATGTTAGGAAAAGGTTAACATGCTTGATCATCAAGATCACCAGGAAGCACTCTAAGCCCAATCTCTGCTCCACTTCAAACCTACAGAAGCACTGTGAGAGTGAAGAATTATGGCACAAATAACGTGTCCAATGTTATTTGTCGGACAAGGGTAAAGGTTCTAATTTTCACAAAGGAGGAGGCTGCAATGCTTGGTAAGAAATGTACGCATTATCCTGCCCATGTAACTGTAACTCCTCTGTACAGTATGTTTACAAATAAAATTAAATTAAATTTAAAAAAAAAAAGGTTCTAATTTTCACTTGTGGCAGGATTTACTTATCCTAATGTTTTTTAAAAAAATAATTAGCATAAAGTTATTAAAAATAATTAGCATAAAGCAAAGGTGCTTTATGGTGATGTTTGTTTGCATGGATATAATGTCTTTACATCAAATTCACCCATATATAAAACTCCCACTCCTCTAAACTGTCTTTTTTTTAGCTTTCTTTTGTTTCAGGCCCTAGGGTTTTAACTCAGGGCCTAGGCTCTGTCCCTGAGACTCTGCGCTCAAGGCTAGTGCTCTACCACTTGAGCCACAGTGTGACTTCCAGCTTTTTCTGAGTAGTTTATTGGAGATAAAAGTCTCACAGATTTTCCTGCCCAGGCTGGCTTTGAACGGTGATCCTCAGATCTTAGCCTCCTGAGTAGCTAGGATTATAGGTGTGAGCCACTGGTGCCCATTAAACCAACACACACACACACACACACACACACACATCTTTTCTCTTTGTCCAAATGCAATCAAATATGTAGAAATAGGTACTCTTCCCTTTTTGTCTGAACTCTCCTCTAAAAGAACATCCTTGGTTAAGAAGATACTATAGGTCAAGTAGTCATATAGGGAACCAATTTCCAAATCCCAGCTCCTTAGCCTATTGGGTGTGTAACTCTAAACAGGTACTTAACCTTTCCATGCTTCAGTTAACTTATCTGTAAAGTAGAGGCATTAATCATACCTACCTGAATGCAACCTTGTGAAAATCAAATGCAATAAAATGTTAAGTGCCTAGTAAAAATGTAACTTTAAGAAGCCTTTCCAAATAGCCATTTTTCTATACGCAAAATACTAGTACAAGTCCTTATATTAGTTTTCCAAGGCTGCTATAACGAAGTACAACAAACTAAGTGACTTAAACAACAGAAATGCATCATCTCACAGAACCAGAGACAAAATATCCAACATCAAGTTCCTCTTAGTGATGCAAGGAACAAATCTTCCAGGCCTTTCCTTTTGGCTGTGGACACATCTTTCCGGCTCTTTTCCATGCCTGCCTGCCTCATATAAAGTGTGTGTGTCTGTGTCTGTGTATGTTTTAAGGAAATGAGTCATAATGGACTAGAGACTTACTCTATTCCACCATAATTTCATTTAAAATTAACTAATATAATTAGTTGTTTAGACCCTATTTCTAAATAGTTCCATTCTAAGGTACTAAGGATTAAGACTTCTGCATATGTGGGGTGAAAAACATAATTCAACCCCTAAGGTAACTAATGAAGCAAGGCTTGTGAAATTTGGCATTGCCAAGGGGAGAAAAAAAACTAGTGTGGTTCTGAGAACTCTGTTCCAAGTGTCGCCCATGATTTCAGGCTAGCTGCTCAGCTTACACATTTGAGTGGGGTGGATCTCCCTGTATGCTCTCGCTCTCGCTCTCACTCTTGCTCTCGCTCACTTGCTCACTCACTCGCTCTTTCTCTCCTTTGATCACTTGCTCCCTCATTTTCACTTTTTCTTTTCTCCTTAGGTCCCTAGACAAATGATAGTTTAGAAATAGTGTCAAATGGGGCTGGGAAGGTGGCTCAGTGGTAGAGTGCTTGCTTTGCATGCGTGAGGCCCTGGGTTCGATTCCTCAGCACCACATAAGCAGAAAAGGCCAGAAGTGGGGCCATGGCTCAAGGAGTAAAGTGCTAGCCTTGAGCTGAAGAGCTCAGGACAGAGCCCAGGCCCAGAGTTCGGGCCCCAAGACCAACAAAAAAAAGAAAAAAGAAAAGAAAGAAAGAAAAATAAATAAATACCATAGACTTTGGTTTGGTGGAACATGGAAATCTGCCATCTCTTCTCTACAGAGCCTCCTTATATTCTTCCATATAAGCAAAAAGCCTTGGGTAGCCCACTCTGCACACTGTCCTTCCTTCTGAGGCAGAAACTGAGTAGAAGCAAGTCCCTTTCCCAGAGCTGTCAATCAAGCTCAGCACTCCAGGCTCTCTTCTCAAACTATTCTTGTCCTGTAGGCTCTCCCCTACTCCCTGATGGCCCTAGCTGTGGCGATGTACCTGCCAGTACTGCTATGGCAGTATGCAGCTGTGCCAGCCCTCAGCTCAGATCTGCTGTTCATCATCAGCGAACTGGACAAATCCTATAATCGCTCCATCCGCCTGGTACAGCACATGTTGAAGATCCGACAGAAGAGCTCTGACCCCCATGTCTTCTGGGATGAACTAGAGAAGTGAGTTATCTCTTCTGCCTTTTTCTGAAAGATTCTGTTGAGCATTACAATAATATCCTAAGCCATAAGGGATTACTCTCACTTCTGTATTCTATTCCTCTATTCACAAACTTCCATTACTAACTCCATGCCTATCAAAAAATATACAAGTTCTCACAAGTACTTGTCTTAGGCCCCAACATGCTTTTAACTATAAATTGAGTATCGTTAATCCAAAATTCCAAATTTAACAGCGCTACAGAATTCAAGAGATATTCAGCATCCTAAGTAAAAGTGTTGTAGCATATTAGAATGCCATTCACATTGTTGCTGAGTAATATTCAATATAGACAGAGAAATCATCTGCAAGTGGATACTTAGGTGACTTCTACCTCTGGCTACTATGAATAATACAAATATTCTAAAGTATGGAACATTCCAAGGTTTTAAGCATTTCTGCTCCCAAGCACTTGGATAAGAAATACTTAATCCATAGCAAGTGACAGAAATCTTCTACTCTATCCAAGCAGTCTCCTCCTTTTCCCTATATAGATAATTTATTTAGTCATTTATCAGAGTACCAGGCATTGTGCTAGGTGATTCTGATACAACAGTGTGTTAGAGACAGGAAGCAGGAGTGACAAAGCTAAACCTACCTATGTGAGGTTTACATTCTCTTAAGGCAAAAAGACAATAATGACAGCTCATAGGTAAAACATACATTAATACATGGTGAGTGGTAGAAAAAAAGTAACAGAAGGAAAGGAGATCTGGAGAGCTGAAGGATAGAGAAATGACAGCTCATAGGTAAAACATACATTAATACATGATGAGTAGTGTAAAAAAAGTAACAGGAGGAAAGGAGGTCTGGAGAGCTGAAGGATAGAGAACAGTGCCATTTTTAAAATAGGGCAAACAGGGTGGGCCCTACTAAGGGAATAGTTCAACAAAGATATGAAATTGTATTTTCCCATGTTTATAGGCACACTACATCCTCTCCATCCCTTAGAGCCCAGCTTCAAGCCAATATTCTCTATAAACATTTCTGAACACTCCAACCCACAATGTTATTCCATCTGCTAACGTTTGCAACTACTATGGGTCATATTCATCAATTTGACAAGTCAAATATTCATTTTATTTTATCTGTGCATATTTTTATGCCCCTTTTCCATAAGTCAGACACTCAGCTTCTTGGCTTCACTATACCTTAACATCACAGCTCTCCACATAAATATTACCACACTTGTATAAAATGAATAAGTAAGGAAGTGGCACAGTGGCTCAAAGTGGTAAAATGCTACTAGCTTTGAGCAAAAAAGCTCAAGGCCCATGACAAACACACATAAATAATGACTAATCTAGCCAAGAAAATCGTAGTGAAGAGTATACAGGTCAAGAATCACAATGCATTGATTTGGACTCCCAGTCCAGTGCTAATTTCTTAAGCCTATTGCTTCCTAAGAGTCCATTTCAGCTTAGAGTTAAAATCTGCCTTGGTAGGCAGAAATTTATAGTGACCATTCATTATTTATTAACCATCTTCTGTGTCTATCACACTGCACCCAGTATTTAGAGAATAATCACACACCTCTTTTTAATAAAGATCATGGTTATGCTTGGGAAAGACAGCTTTTCATGTATACCAAGCATGTCATTTTGGATACACAGATCAGTTACTTTCCTTAGTGATTTTTAGGATGTGGTTCTAAATGGCACTTCCTAACCTTGACTTCTTTCTTCCCTTGCCCAGGGCCCGGAAAGAAAGATACTTTGAATTTCCCTTGCTAGAACGGTACCTGGCATGCAAGCAGCGCTCACATTCACTAGTGGCCGTCTATCTCCTAAGGAACTCCCTCTTGCTCCTCTTCACCTCAGCCACTTATCTGTACCTTGGTCATTTTCATTTGGATATCTTCTTCCAAAAAGAATTCAGCTGTTCCATCAAGACAGAACTGCTACATGATGAGACACATGTCCCCGATCTGATCACATGCAGGTTGACCTCCCTATCCATTTTCCAGATTGTTAGCCTCTCTAGTGCAGTAGTATACACTCTATTGGTTCCATTAATAATATACAACCTCACACGGCTATGTACATGGGACAAACGACTCCTATCCATCTATGAGATGCTCCCAGCTTTTGATCTTCTCAGTAGGAAGATGCTAGGATGCCCTATCAACGACCTCAATGTGATCCTTCTTTTCCTCCGAGCTAATATCTCTGAGCTCATTTCTTTTAGCTGGTTGAGTGTCTTATGTGTATTGAAGGACACAACCACCCAGAAGCATAACATTGACACTGTGGTTGATTTTATGACTTTATTGGCTGGCTTAGAACCTTCCAAACCTAAACATCTTACCCAACGAGTATGTGATGAACACTTATAGTTAAGGGGGAAAAAAAATCTCTGTATTGAGAACTTTTGTGAAAATTAAGTCTCTTACCTTCTTTGCAAGTCACACAGAATACACATGCATGCACACGCGCACACACACACACAAATTCACTTTAGAAATGCTAAGCTTGCATACACTTAGGTTAGCTTGTATATCAAGATAAGGAACTAAATGTAAAACTTGAAACTGAAGAGTCAAAGAACTGAAAGGATATGTCTGCAGCATCTATGAATATAAACATAAATGAAAGTCCAGATATTCTGCAAGCCTCCCCTACAGTATAACACCTGCTTTCACTGTATTTGATGTCGGTATAATTTGTGGAGGGGAAGGGGAAAAACAAGTCGTTTAAATAAAGATACAGGTGGACCTGTTGCAACAATGAGAAGTACAAGTTGTCATGTCGAAAATGAACTTTACAACTTGGGGGGGAGGATTGGGGGAGGAGGGAGGATGGGAAGGGATGGGAAGGGTAAACAAAGGAGGAGGGTACAATGCTTGATAAGAAATGTACTCACTATCTTGCCCATGTAATTGTAACCCCTCTGTACAGTATTTTCACAATAAAAAAATAAATAAAAATTAAAAAAAAAAGAAGACTCTAAAGGCTACTATGGAAGCAAGTTCTCACTATATTCACTCCATGGTCCCTATCTGATCCATATCTGGCTTATTCCAAAGCACAAGTAGACAAATCTAATAAGAGATTAATAAAGATATAAAACCCTTGGAAACTCTTGGTGTGGCCTCAAATCCTAAAACCTGTTTTGTGGAAATATCCTTACTAGGCCCACTGAAGCCTGCCAAGTCAGGAGATAATGATGGTTTTAATTTGTAATCTGCTCTTGGGGTTTAAGGATACAGGCAGGGTACTATACACCCATTAGTTAAATTTTTTGGTGCCCAACACTTTTAATCATATAAAACAAGGCTGCATCTTACCAAGGACTAGGGTTATAAGCTGAGAACTCCTTTGCAATGCTTAATGGCCCCAAGTATGCTTTTGATACTTTAGAGGATATTATATCTTCATCTACAGCTAATTATTGAAACACAACTACTAAGATCTAAATAAAGTGGATGGGAAAGTGTTACTAAGCTCCCCTCCCCCTTTTTTCTGGTTCATTACTCAGTTCTTACATCTAACTTCCAACTTTATGTCTGAATTTAATGCCTTAAGTATGTTTGTGGAGTCTTGATCTGACTGCAAAAACTACCACAATACCATGCTGCCTCTCACTGTGTATTTCTTTTTAAAGCCAGATTTACGCATTCTTTTTTTCCTGCAGTATTGAGGGATTGTATCCAGAGCCTTGAGCTTGCTTGGCAAGCACTCTACCATTTGAGCTACACTCCCAGCCATAATACATACTTGTTGAGAGAAGTTTTGCACAAGCTATTTAGAACCTTATTCATATAGGTAAACAGAAAAGTCATGTTGCTGCTGGCACATTCAAATGTTTACCTAAAACAAGTAAAGAGCTAATTTACTGATATTCATCAGCCATCACCTACTATAATTAAAGTTCAACTCTTCAGTTGGTACACAGCCCTTGCATGATCTAGACTCAGCCTACTATTTCAATCTCCCCTCTTGCTTCCCTCCACAAGCAGCTTACACTTGAATCAACTATTTGCAGTTCCTATTTTCTCATTTATTATATACTGTCTTCACTGTCAGCTTGCCTTCCTCAGTACCCACATCAGTTTGAACACTACCTCTTCTTGAGAGTAAAGACAGGCATATTTCCTTCAAGAAACTGTGGCTCAAGTGATAGAGCATTAACCTTGAGCAAAGTAACTCAGGAACAACACTTAGGCCTTGAGTTCAAGCCCCAGGACCAACACCAAAAAAACAAAAAAAAATTTCTATAAGCTTTTGTTCTGTGTTACAACCATTTTGCCAAGACTGTTACTGTTTTCAGTTTTTTTAATTTTTCAGAAAAGAAGAACTTGGGTCAGTTTCTAAACCTTTTAAATTCTAAACTTTTCTACAGTGATTCCAATTAAATTATTACCTATGTAACATATTTTCCTAAATATCCATATACAACTCTAGGATTTTTGACTATTTATGAATCAGTGTAATACTTTACAGTGTAGATATCCCAATCACTTCATACTTATACTGTTTTGGGAGAATGCCACTGAGAATTAGGATTCTCAACTAGTTAATAGCTCTACTGAAAGAATGGAAGTCTGGGGCTGGGAAGGTGGCTCAGTGGAAGAGCACTTGCCTTGCAAGCCTGAGGCCCTGGTTCAATTCCTCAGTACCACATAAGCAAAAAGAAAAATCCGGAAGTGGTGCTGTGGCTCAAGTGGTAGAGCACTAGCCTTGAGCTGAATTGCTGAGGGACAGCGCCCAGGCCCAGAGTTCAAGCCCCACGACCGGACCCAAAAAAAAAAAAAAAAGAAAGGTAGTCTGATACACAACTCTGGACACTTAAAATTTTACACCCTAAATATTTGTATTTCTTACTTGGTGACTTTAAATTAACCTTAGTTACAAAGTTAGAAATATAAAAATTACAATTATGTGTACAAAACACATAATGGTCTCATTAGGGAAACATCTACAGAGTGCTCATTTTTTTGCTAACATGTTAAACCTTCCATCTTCCCTGCTACAATTCTAAGCTTTGACACAAAGCCAAGGCTTTTTCCCTCATCCACTATGGTGAATAAACATTTGTGGCACATGCATTTTTTTTTTTTAAACCATGCCCGGGGCTCCTGGCTATAATCCTAGCTACTCAGAAGGCTGAGATCTGAGGATTGCACTTCAAAGCCAGTCTGGGCAGATAAATTCATGAGACTCTTATCTCCAATTAACCACCAGAAAATTGGAGCTGTGGCTGAAAGTGGTAGTATGCTAGTCTTGAGGAACCCAGGCCCTGAGTTCAAACCCCACGAGCAAAAAGGAGGGGGAAAAGGCAGAAAAAAGTGAAGAAGAGTGGAAAGGAGAAAAAGAAAGAATTTTTTTTATTTAAAAAAAGAAAAGCGGGGCTGAGAAGGTGGCTCAGTGGTAGTAGAGTGTTTGGCAGGCACTGGATTGGATTCCTGGATTCGATTCCTCAGCACCACATAAGCAGAAAAAGCTCGAAGTGGCGCTGTGGCTCTAGTGGTAGAGCACTAGCCTTGAGCCGAAGAGCTGAGGGACAGCATCCAGGACGAGCTCAGGCCCCAGGAAGGAAGGAAGGAAGGAAGGGAGGGAGGGAGGGAGGAAGGAAGGAAGGGAGGAAGGAAGGGAGGGAGGGAGGGAGGGAGAAAGAGGGAGGGAGGGAGGGAAGGAAGGAGAAAGAAAGAGGAGGGGAGGGAAGGAGGAATAAAAAGGGGGAGGGGAGGGAGCTCAAGTGGTAAAGAGCCTGCCTAGCAAGGCCCTAAATTAAAGCCCCAGTACCACAAAAAATGTGGAAGGAGGGAGGGAGGGAGGGAAGAAGGAAGGGAGGGAGGAATGGAGGAAGGGAGGATGGGAGGAAGGGAGGGAGGGAGAAAGGGAGGGAGGGAAGAGAGAAAGAAGGAAGGGGGGGGAAGGGGAGGGCTGGGGGTGGGGAAGCTGAAGAAGAAGCTACCCTGGCAAATTCAAGGCCGTGTTCAAACCCCAGCACCACAGAAAAGGAGGGAGGACGAAGGGGGGGGGGGGGGGAGACGGAGATGGAGAGGGGATGGACGGAGGGAGGAAAACCCGAGTGCCCAGATTTGAACCCAAGTGTGTCCTACAACCCCGGAAAGCCTGTCGATGAGGAGCGTGGAAACGCGTGTTGAGCGGCAAGGCCTGAGGCGCGCCGGTGCCGAGCGCCGAGGCCTGAGGAGAACGCCAACCAGAGCTCGCGGGGGAAAACTTGCGTTGGGCCCGCCTTCACTCTCGAACTGCCCTCCGCCCAACAGCGGAGGCCCCGGCGGGCCTTCCCGCCCCGCCCCCTTCCCCCGCCCCCTTCCCCGCCCCCTTCCCCGCCCCCTTCCCCGCCCCCTTCCCCGCCCCCTTCCCCGCCCCCCTTCCCCGCCCCCTTCCCCGCCCCCCCCCTTCCCCGCCCCCCTTCCCCCGCCCCCCTTCCCCGCCCCCTTCCCCGCCCCCTTCCCCGCCCCCTTCCCCGCCCCCTTCCCCGCCCCCTTCCCCGCCCCGTGACCTACGCTTCCCTCCCGTCACGATTCCGTCTGCCAGAACCACCCTTCTCTCCGAGCGCCGGAAGTTACACCCCGCGTGCGCGTCACCTACTTCCGGCGCCGCTTAACTTCCGTCACGGAAGTACTTGGATGTCCTGGCGTCTGGCGGCGTTGGAGGTTTTCCGGCGGTTTTGGGGGGGGGGTGGGACTACAGGGGGAGCTGGTTTCCTAGAGCCGCGACTCTGCCAGCCCAGAGCAGACTCCACGCCGGCGCCCCGACCCGCGCTTCGCCCCTGGGGCCGATGCCGGCGGCGTCCTAAGGCCCCCCCCCCGAGTGGGGCGGGAACGTGAGGCTGCGGGGCGGCCTCGCCTGCTGGCCTCGGGCTCCCTGGTTGTCCTGCAAGGCCAGGATGAAAAAGTTTCCGAAGAAGAGCCAGAACGAGAAGTACCGGCTGAAGTACTTGCGGCTGCGCAAAGCGGCCAAGGCCACGGTGTTTGTGAGTGCCCGTCGCGAAGCCCGCCTCCGCCTGCACACCGTGTCCCCGCCCGCCCGCCCCGGCGCTTCCCTTTCCCTGAGGGACAGTCTTCATACGGTGATGGGGTTTGCGGTAGACGTCCCTACTTGTCTTCGGACGAGTTACAATTCCCTCCTTTGGAAACGAGAGCTAGTAACTAGTGAAAGGTGCAGTGTTGGAAAAGTAAAGTGCTTGATGCCTAGAAGTTCTCCCACGAAACCTCATACTTTAGTCCTTAGGACAAAGCTCAGAAATGTGATTAGTTCCGGATAACCTGAAAATTAGGTCATTTTTAAACACGCATCACTGAAGCCCAGAGAGAAAATTAATCTTTGCTCCAGGGCACAGTGTTAAGAGCCCTCACTCCAGCTTAAACAGCTTGATTACAGTTTAATGTTTCCATGACACAACCCGCGTCCCTAACAGCTTCCAACCCCAACCATACAAGTGGTGGGCAAATGTGTGTATGTTTGTACTTCCTCCTCCCTTCTAAGGCTGGAACCCAGGGCCTCCAGCATGCTAGCCACAGAGCTAGACACCCAACACTTTCGGAGATTGGTTGCTTTGTTTTTATAATTACCTTACATGAGTTATATAGTTACATTTAGGTGTTTTCCAGTCTCACCAGTCATTTAACTTTATTGAATGAATGAGCTGCCAACTATAAATTTGTGTTACTTATCTATCTTGTCTTAGTGCTTAGAAATAAGGATGTAGTCCTCAAATATCGTCCCACATCTAAAATTAATGGTTTTCCTTTTATATGTATATATATATAGTATATGTACACATTCATAAAGATAGTACCACTAATAAGTATGCTAATATATTGTTATGAATATGATTATTAGTGGCATTAATCCAGCAACTCAGATTATGAGTCAAGACATTTTGAATTCCCTCTTACTATCATTTAGTTTGAGGTTCTAGCTGTGAGGCATTTTCTTTAGTACTGGTGCTTAGGAGACACATTAAGTAAATCAGTAAAGAAAGATGACACTTGAATATATACAGGTAAATTATGAAGTTTAAGAATTGTGCACAGGGCCTGGGAAAGTGGTTCAGTGGTAGAGTGCTTGCCTTGCATGCATGAGGCCCTGGGTTTGATTCCTCAGCACCACATAAGCAGAAAAAGCTGGAAGTGGCACTGTGGCTCAAGTGGTAGAACACTAACTAGCCTTAAGCTGAAGAGCTGAGGGCCAGTGCCCAGGCCCAGAGTTCAGGCCTAACTAACAACAACAACAAAACAAAAAGTACACAGAAGGCCAGGCATGGTGGCTGGTGCCTGTAATCCCATCTACTTGGAAAGCTAAGATCAAAAAGATCACCTTTCAAGGCCAGCTCAGGCAGAAAGTTAGCAAGTCCCCCTCCTCCACAAATATCGGTAGCATTGCAGGTATCTGCCCTCTTAACTAGAAGGAAAGTGTAAATTTGGAAGCTTGTGGTCCAGGTCAGTTTGAGCTAAAACACAAGACCTTATCTCCAAAAATAACTAAAGCAAAAAAGGCAAGGGGTATGGCTCAAGTGGTAGAATACTTCATAGCAAGCTTAAAGCAGAGTCCAAACCCAATTCCCTCCACTATTTCTAGGATATCATGTGGGATGCTTTGGGTAAAATAGCTCTTCTGTTATCCAGAGACACTATATATCTATATATAGATACAGATATATCCTCTTCCCAGCACCTTGATCTTCACTTTATATGATTATGTTCAAATTTTTTCTTAAAGGAAAATGCTGCTATTTGTGATGAAATTGCTCGTCTTGAGGAAAAATTTCTTAAAGCAAAAGAAGAAAGAAGGTGAGCTAGTTTCATCTTACATTCAGAAAAACATTTTTGGAGAATGATACAAGATTATTGCTATGGAGACTTTTCTCCAGTGGAATTTTTGTGCATTGCATTGCCCTTTGGCCACTTGAGCAAGTATAAACTTACAATCAGTAGAATTGGTCCCCACACACCCAAGTCATGTTGGATCATGATGAGAAGACAGCCCCTGAGAAAACCCTCTAATCTTTATTATAAAATCCACAAGTATTTATACAGTCGTACTACTTTAAGCTAAGCATAGTAGATATATATATAAAACTATTCAGATACCTAACACCTTTTAACAAAGATAGAAGAGTATTCCAGGTCAAAGAGAGATATAGGACACAGAAGCTTAGATATGGCTTCTTGAAGTATTCGTTTTTCTCTTGAGACATCACCCCCATGGTCCAAAAAGAACCTTATTTATGAATATGATATTCTCTTTACATAATTCTGGGTTTTTTCTAGAATTAGTAAAATGTAAGTTCATACTTCTGCTCCCTTTCCTTCCTGACCTCAGGTACTTGCTAAAGAAGCTCCTCCAACTTCAGGCATTAACAGAAGGGGAAGTACAGGCTGCACCTCCTTCCCACAGCTCCAGTTTGCCCCTGACTTATGGTGTGGCCGGTTCTGTGGGTGCTATACAGGGAACTGGGCCCATTTCTGGGCCCAGCACAGGGGCTGAGGAACCATTTGGGAAGAAATCCAAGAAGGAGAAAAGAGAAAAAGGCAAAGAGAACAACAAATTGGAAGGTACTTTTGAGAAACAATGTATCAGTTATCCCAGTGATTCAACTAATGATGACAAAAACCTGGTTACTAACTGGTAAACACATGTGGTCATATACACTTCAAGGCTCATAAGTCTTTTCAAACATTTTGGGACTTTAAAGCCCCTTGAGAAGCAGATGCCTTAGTAGAGCCAACTTCCGTTGGAAAGATTTTAGTCAGACTTGGTTAATGTGAAGGGAACAGACTTAAGATTTCTGTCTTTCCTAACTCTTGAGTTGCACTTACTTTCATAAAGTCTTTACTAAAGGCAAGGAAATGGGCTAGGTGGCACTTTGAGCACACAACTAGCTTGAGAAATTTCTCATCTGACTTCAAAATGTATTGAGTACTAGTGGACAGGTTAGAGTAAATCTTGGGACTCTGGAAAAGCCTATTATAGTTCACTCAATACCAATGATTCCTGACTTAGAAAGGCTCAACTTAATGATTTTTTTCAACTTTACCATAGTGTGAAAGCTAAATGTACATTCAGTAGAAACCATACTTTGTGTTTTTATCTTTTCCTGGGATCGTGATACTCAGTATGATGCTCTTTGGTTCCTGGGCAGTAGAAACAAGCCACAGTTCCCAGTCAGCTCCACACAATCACAAGGGGAAACAACTGGGTTTTTATAGTATACTATGTTGCTTGGCTGTAGCATTTGGTAGATAGGCTTATTAATATGTAACCCAAGGTAATTCAAGGAGTATCTATAGAAAATCAAGGTTGACTTATTGCCCTTAGCTCACAAGTAAATTTTTTCCTTCTCCTCGGCACTGGGAGGGACCTAAAGTGGATGACCCCAGATTTGCGTTTCAGTTCTGAAGAAAACATCCAAGAAAAAGAAAATGGAGGGAGGTGCTCGCAAGCTGGTTCAGCCCATTGCCCTGGATCCCTCAGGACGGCCTGTGTTCCCCATCGGACTAGGGGGTCTAACAGTATATAGCCTGGGGGAGGTGAGTGAGACCAGCCACATACAGAGAGGAGAACCAGGGAAATATAGCAGCGGGGTTGAGCTATCCCTCCCTGTTCCCATCAGCAGCACCCCCTTGCTGATCCATACCAGTCCCAGAAAAATCTCCAGTCCCTACAAATCCAGGTCAGCTTCTACCTGCTTTGCAGCTGTCACTCTGTGTGGTTTGTTACTTTGTAGCCCCAAAGTGGTTCTAAAAGCAGCCAGAGTGAACTGGATTATTAAATCCTTCAGTGACATAAATCTCAGGGATGGGGGACTCTTTTTATAGATCATCACCGACCGACCTGGCTTCCATGATGAGTGCACCATCTACCCCGTGGGCTACTATAGTACACGATTGTATACCAGCATGAAGTGCCCAGACCAAGAGTGTCTATATACCTGTCAGATCAAGGATGGTGGTGTGCAGCCTCAGGTACCCATGTGAATATAATTACTTCTTTTGGCTTTTTTTGTCAAGAACCTCTGTTCTAGACACTTAAAATGTGTTACCAGTTTTGACACCTTACAAGATAGATGTGATATCATTGCCATTTGATAAGCTCACAAGATTTAGAAAAAGTGTCTGACCCTAAGTCACACCTCACTTGTAAGTGGTTAAGCTGGGATACGAATATGTATCTAATTTTCAAACTTGACTTTCACTTAAACCATGTTTCTTCTACTTGAACAATACTACTGTCCATATTTTGACTATTTGAGGCTTGATCAAACCTGATTGTATTAAGTACGGGCTTTTTACATGGAAGATTAGTTTCAAGTTTGAGCTATGTGGAGGTAACAGAGAAACCACATTTTAGTTTCTGGATGCATGAAAAGACAGGAAATCCCAAATCTCATTCTTATTAAATACTAAAATGCAAAGCAGCTTATTTTTCCAATCGGTCCTTTGGGAAAAACATAGACCATTTTCAGAATTCCAAGCCTCACTGTCTGATGAAGTAACATATCACTAGAGACTGGTTGGAAGAATGTAAAGGCAAGGTAAGGAATCTTTGAGCAGGTGGGAGAACCTCAGTTCTACCTGATTTAAGTTGTTAATACTGCAGTCCTGTTAAGAATTCAAGTGAACTTGGTCATATAATAGTGCTCTGCAGAAAGGGTCCTAAAAGATACAGATCAGTAGGTAGTTAGACACACACACACATACACACACATATCCCAGAGCTATAAATGTAATGCAAATCTAATCAAAATACTATTAAACTTTTAATGGAAATTGGTACACTGATTTTTAATTTCCTCCGAAAGACACAATGCTTAGCCACTATTGAAATAGAGTAATTCATGCCATATTTATTTACTTACTTACTTAACCTGACATTACTTTTAGTTATATCATGAAATAGGAATTTAAATTTTAGTTTTTTTGCCAACTAGCATTAAGTGACTTTCTAAAAACTTAAGTACATACAGTACTTGATGGGGTCTGTTTCTCAAAGGTTCTGTAGATTTATTTGTCAGTAAGCACCAATACAATAGACTTTAGCTTTATAGAATATGCTATAGATATGTTAAGGAAAATGTGAAAACTTTTGTTTGTTGTTTTCTTTGCCACTCGTGGGGCTTGAAATCTGGCCCTGGGGCACTGTCCCTGAGCTGCTTCTTAGACTCAAGGCTAGTACTCTGCCACTTGAGTCACAGCTCTACTTCTGGTTTTTTCTGTGTTAATCAGAGGTAAGAGTTTCATCGACTTTCCTACCCATGCTGGCTTCAAACTGTGCTCCCTAGCTTCCTGGGTTACTTAAGATTACAGGTATGAGTCACTGGCACTCAGCTGAAAAAGTTTTCTTTAGCAAGACATGAAACAGAAACTGTAAAAGAGTAACATACTAGGCTATAAAAATTGTAAGTACTTCTGAGTGATGAAAGACACCATACTCAAAGTTAACAGACAAGCAGCAAAAAGGAAGAAAAATATATACACCATGGGATTCATGTACAGTTAAAGTGCTGCTACAGAATAATCAACAAAAGTGAAACTGTAAATGACTAGATGAGAAACAGGTTAAACCAAATACTTCATTTGGGGGAGAAAAAAAAACTTAACAAATGATCTCCTAAACCCTGAGCCACACACTCTCTAAGTGTTCACCTTTCCCACAGAATTTTGCTGGAGATTGTGTTATTGAGGAGTAAACTGATATAACCATGAGGAGGTTTGTTTTCTGCATAGTGTGCTTAGAAGCCTAGAGACTTGCTAAATTCCAACTCTTGTGATGTTTTAAAAGATTGTGAAGTTACCAAATGCACATGAATCAAGTTTTGAGATGCCATATAATGGTGTAGGTGGCTTTCCATTGTACCATTTTTTTTTTGGATTCTCAGGCGTTGTGTGGCATTGCAAGAACTCTGTCACATTAACAAATACAATCAAAAGTAAGCATATAAAAATGAAAAATAAAATGAGACCTTATTTTTGCCTCTATACAACTATCAGAGTTTGATAATATCCTGTATTGACCAGAGTTTAGGAAAACAAGTACATTAGTACTAGTGAATATTGGTAGTTTTTTGGAGGATAACTTGTGATGCCAGCAATTTTAATACTTGTGTCCTTGACCCAGGATACCTAAGGTGATCTTATATCATCTAAAGAAATATGTATCAGTGAACAAAGAAAAACATAATAGTGTACACGGAGAGTAATTTCACATGTTTAAAATATTATTTGTATGGATATATACATCAAAATGTCATGCAGTATACTGTAATTATATAGTTTTGTCTAAAATAGAAAAAATGCTCAATATTTTGTTAGAAAGAAAATAAAACTTGAAGAGCCCTAAATATGGCAGGAAAGTGTTTAAGGATATGGTAAGTGGAATAGGAAAGGGGCTAGAAAGGTATAGAAGAGATTAAATGTTCACCCCTGGAAAATTATCAGCCAAGTAGTATAGAATTAAAACAGCCGAAGGACCTTCTCTGTTTACTTGTGATGTTTTTGAATTTGTGGGAGGGTTGGGTGGAGACCTTGAACTTCGGGCCTGGGCGCTGTCCCTGAGCTCTTCAGCTCAAGGTTATTACTCTACCACTTTGAGCCACAGCACTACTCCTGTTTTTTAACAGCATTATAGGAAACTATTTATATCCATCTTCTGATAAACAGCAGCTTCACAATCTAGAGAGAAGAAATATTTATAGGACTGCTATGACTCTCTGCTTCCCTCTTTGCAGATTGATCTAATCATTCCTTTGTTGTTCTCAGTTTGAAATTGTTCCCGAAGATGATCCCCAGAATGTCATTGTTGGCTCTTCTGCAGATGCTTGTCATGAAGAACTGCTTAGAATCATCAATGCTAGAGTGTAAGTTGGCCAACAGCTTAAAGAAGGCTAAAAGGATCAGTCAGTACAGTGAGACTTTCAGTGAAATCCCTCGTTTTATAGAAACCAATTCTGTATCCTTCAAACATCTCCCTCTTAAGCTCTCACGCTAAATTTCCTCCCTCTCCTGTTTAGGGGAAAGATAATGCCTAACCTGCTTCCATCTGGAGCTGACTTTTTTGGGTTTTCTCATCCAGTCATTCACAACCTCATCCAAAGTTGTCCAGAAGCTCAAAAATGTGTCAAGTAAGTGTGGGCAAACCCATTTCATTGGTAGAAGCTCAGGGGTCAACCAACAGGGACTAAACTTTTTCCATTCATGTTTATTGAACTATTGTGGCCAAGGCATGTGTTCTTCCACACTATCATGCCTCTAAACACAGGAGAACAGGAACCAGGAACCCAGTATACTGTATTATGTGTTGAGTATGCCTTATCTAAAATCCTTAGGCCTAGAAATACTTAAGATTTGAATTATTTTTCAATTTTAGAATATTTACATATAATAATGAGGTAGTTGGAGATAAGAGCCAAGTCTATATAGGAAATTCATGTTTCATACCTGTTTATATGTCCTAAAGGTACTTTTAGACAATATTTTAGCACAACTCCATTTTAACTTGTGACCAAACGCAAGGGATTTTGTAGCCTTCTGAGTGATCAAATCAAACCTTTGCAATGGTTTGGAATTTTCAGATTAGGGATACTCAGCCTGTGCTGTTTTCTGTGTGCACCATGATAGCAAAAGGGTTATGAAAGAGTCTTGCTTGTTTTCTTTTTCCCTGGCATTTCATTTGCTTCCTTACCTAAAATGTATATATATAGGAAAGACCTAATTAAAAAAATAAGTTGACCCCTTTGGAGTTAGGACAACTCATGAATGATTCCCTTTGATCCTGCAGTTACCAGTTGGTAAAATTTGATGCATGCAAACCTGAAGAAGGACTACCAGAGAATGAGATAGCTATGAGCTTTGAAGTCTTCCAGAAACAGACTTTTGGTGAAGATCATGATGATCCCATTCTGCCAGGTATCTTTTTGCCTTTCTGGGTTGAAAACTGATCATTTCTAGAGTATCATGCTCTCTTCACACATTGCTGGATGCCCCAGAAATCAGGCATCTGGGCAATAAATGTTTTAAGCCTTCACGAAGAATATGAAGAATACATGAAGTCATGAAGAATACAAAGTCAAACAGATATGCTGCCTGCCTAGATTCCTAGGTTACTCACAAATTTATAGAGCAAGCTAAGATACCCTGACAAACCGCAATATCTCATTCTCTAACCTGAATAAAATCTAAGTACAAAAGGGAGAGGTTTACTGTATGGGAAATTTCAGATGACAGCAAAGTGGTGGTGGCCATGGCTCTGCCTAGGTTTCTTACATTCCTTCTCAAAGTAAGAGGAGTAATCAGAAATTCAGGCATATTTGGGCTATAGAGAGTTGTGTATCATACATAGCCATAGCAAAGTCACTTTCAAAGAGCATTTCATTGTTCTTCATGATAAAAATATCTGTCCTATTTTACCAACTAAAGAAAGAATGGGCTGAATTTTGCAAGGATGTTGAAGAATTAAAAGGCCATGTAAATGTCTGAATAAATCACTTCTAAGATTCCCAAGCATCAGTTGGACTTAAAGATTATTTCTTCCAGGATCTTTGGACCTGCCTGAGCTACAGCCTGCAGCCTTTGTGACTTCTTACCCACCTGAGTTCCTGACACGTGAACCCTTGGTAGGCACTCACCTGCAGCACCTGGAGTGTCCATCACAGTGCAGCCCAGTTCTGTCTTCAGACTGAAGAAAGGATCAGATCTCACTTTATTTTCATCACAATGACTTTTTTAACCAAAACTTAGAATATATGGGATAAAGGCAGCCATTCATGACTGAAGAAGATTTTTATCACATTTCATCATGGGAGTTCCCATGGTGATAATTTACCCTAGAAGCAACTTCACTTTATTTTTAGTAAAAAAAAAAAAAAAAAATTCTCTTAAACATTTGGTTTTCATCTTCTTGTAATCAGAGTATAATCTTGTTTGGCTCTGCCTAAAGTAGACTTCAGTATTAATCTGCTTTGTCTGTTTGGGTTGAGATAGCGAAGTACCATAGACTGAGTGGCTTAGTGACAGCAATTTTATTTCCCATGGTTCTAGAGACTGGAAGTCCTAAGTTCAAGGTGCTGACAGTGCCTACTGAGGACCTGCTTCTGGTTCATAGAGAGCCATCTAGCTGGAACCTCCATAAAAGGGGCAGAGGAACTCCTGTGGTCCCTTTTATAAAGGCACTAATCCCATGCAGAACCCTATGACCTACTTCCCTCCCTGAGGCTTCAACTCCCCACATCATCACAGTAAGGATTAGGATTTAATTTATGACTTGACCTAGTGAGTATGTAATAGCTTTCAATTTTTGAGTAAGGTTCAAAATCCTCTTTAACCCATTTCATATGCTTTCTATTCCTCATTGGAGATTGTACTTTTAGTTCTGTGTGCTGAAACCAAATAACAGATTCACATGGGACATAGTTGGGAGTTGTTCCCATCTCCCTAACGCAGTAGAGTGACATCATTCCATTTTAACCTTGTAGAGCATAACTGCATGCTATACAACTGAATTCTTTGGTCCCTGTACATAGCATTAATGTGGAGCTTAGTGTATCACCTAATCCCATCAGTGCAGGTTCATCCTACCTTGTGCATTGCCTTAATTCCCTACCTTCCAGGTGCCCAAGGCTGGCTTGAGTAGTTAGGGAAGGGACAAAAAAAAAGCAGAAGCAAAATGGGGAAAACAGTGGTGAGAATGAATTGTTTGTGTGCTGTATAATTCATGACTGCCAACCGAAGACAATATAAATAAGATGATTAGGATATTACAGAAATGTGACCAGCAGAGAAAGGAATCAGAAAGAGCAGTATTTGGAGCATAGCACCCTGGCAACTGTCAGCATCTACATAACTGGTATAATGTTTTTTGTTTTATGTTTGGCTTTTTTGTTTGTTTTAGCAGTACTGGGGTTTGAATTCAGGGTTACCTGCCTACTAAGCAGGTGCTCTACCACTTGAGATACTCTGCTAGCCCTTTTTGTATTATTTTTGAAGTAAGATCTAGCTTTATGCCCATGTCAACCTAGACTGGGTTCCTGTTTGTACTTGTTCATATAGTTGGGATGACAGACATGCATTACTATGCCCAGTTATTGTGTTGACATGGAATCTTACTGAGCTTTTTGTACATGCAGTTCTCAAACAATGATCCTCCATCCTCCAAACCTCCACCTCCCAAATAGCTAGGATTATAGGCTTGAATCATGTCACCTAGCCTTAACTATGATTATTAGTCTTTTTGTAAGCTGTCTTTTATAATGCCAAAAAGATATAAAATTTGGGTAATAGCCAAGTCAGCAAAAGATTACTCAAACACTGTTAATATTTTTTATCTGTTTCCTGCATAAGTTGATGGAGCATGCTGCTTTTATCATTTAAGAAATGTTATTACAGCCTGAGTATAAATATATTAAAAAAAACTCATTTTAGGATGAATCTTTAAAAAATTTAATGAATTGGTCCAAGTTTACTAGAACAGTTTTTCAAACTATGAACTCAACCTAATAACTTAAACATAAACTTAAGGAGTCTAGTATACAAGCATCTATCATGGGAAAAGATTGAAACTGGTTTCAGTTAATGGGTATGTTTGAATGTGCATAATGTACATGCATTTGTATGTATGGAGATAGGTGAAATAGTATCAAATGCTTTTGATTATATTTTTAAAAACTTAAAAATATTTCACATACATTTAATATATCGTACCTGTTATATTGCTAAAGATATTTGTGTCTTGATAACATTTTGTGCCCTGAGGATGAGAGGAAAGGAGTATCTTGAAGGAAATAAAAATTGTTTGGGAGGGTTAAGCTGTAGATAAACATTTTAAATATATATTTATCTTTTAATCTTTTATTCCATGTTAAAGACCCTAAGAAATAACTGGACAAGTATGATAGGTTTATATGTCACAGTGTTTGCTTAATAATGGAAATCTGTTAAAAAGCCAATATAATATGTCTATCAGTAGAGAACTGGCTAAGTAAAGAATGAATTTCTACAAACTGAAACACTGGCTATCTTCCTCTTACATAAGAAAATTAGTAGACTAGTCAAAAACACAATGCTGGGATTTCTTGAGGAGTGTTGTCATTGAAAAGCTGTAGAATAATGGAAAGTAGGCAGACCACATATAGGTGAGTTTAGTTGTCTGTCCTTTCTGAAGTTGCATCTCTGATTGTCAAGGCACTGTTTTCTGTACAGTGTTTTGACTTTGACCTGCATAGCTACCCTGGAGCCAGACTGACCTATGGACATACGAATAAAATCTGGATAAAAGGTTCATGCATTTGACAGTTTGTTTTTTTTTGTAAGTCATGGGGCTTAAATTCAGGGTCTAGGTGCTGTCCCTGAGCTTTTTTCTTCCTCAGGGCTAGCACTGTACCACTTTCAGCCACAGTGCCACTACCAGTTCCCTGGTGGAGATAAGTCTCATGTTCCTGCCAAGGCTGGCTTCAAACCACAATCCTCAGATCTCAGGTTCCTGTGTACCTAGGATTACAGGTGTGAGCAACCAGCACCCAGCATTTGACAATTTCTTTAGGTTGGGTTCTTAAAGGGGCTGAATAGATGTTGTCCCAGTGATAAATATTAAGGTGAAAAACAAACAGAACATTTTCTCACTAGGAAGAGAGTAGAGCATGATGAGTTCCCAGATTTAAATCCTTAGTTTTCCCTAATGAGGAGGGACTGATCACTGTAGGGTTCCCTCACTAGGGAACTGTGGTCCTCTCACTAGGCAATACATTTAAACTTGTTAGTTTTGTGTGTGTGTTTTGTTTTTTTTGTAGTTTTGTGTGTGTGTTTTGTTTTTTGTTGTTTTTTTTTTTTGGTCCGGTCACGGGGCCTGAACTCTGGGCCTGGGCGCTGTCGCTCAGCTCTTCAGCTCAAGGCTAGCACTCTACCACTTGAGCCACAGCGCCACTTCTGGCTTTTTTTTCCTGCTTATGTGGTGCTGAGGAATCGAACCCAGGGCCTCAAGCACGCAAGGCAAGTGCTCTACCGCTGAGCCACCTTCCCAGACCTAAACTTGTTAGTTTTAAGTTCTCTTTGTGACCTTTCACAAAGCAGCCTCTTTGACTGGATTAGTTTTTCTTTTTGAATCATTTGTAGAATATAGTTGTCATATAACTCCATTTTCTCCATATATTAAATAATTGTATTCCATTAAAAAGATTACAAAATAAAAGTATATGGTATGTATTATGTAATCCAAACAAATCTAATGTTTCTCTCTTAATGATGATTTTTTATGCAACTTACTTGCTTATACCTAATTTCCTACAGTGATTATTTCATTTTCAAACAGTAAAGTTCATTTGGGGAAATACACAATTGCCACAAAGTGTGCCATCATTAAAAATAAATTCATTTACACATTACTTCATTATACATCCATTGCCTAAATGAAAGTTTTTACACGTGGGATTGGAATACTAGGTGTTAAGATCTTGGGTGTAGAGTTTTTGGCTACCTCTTCTTGCATTAGAAACCTCTTCTATATATATGGGCATATGTGTACACTGGTTTGTCAGAGGTGTGGACAAATAAGATTTACTCTTTCTCAGGTCAATCTTACGTTCATGGTTCTTATGAGGCCAAGTGTATAAGAGAAAAAGGGTGGGCATTAGGACTTAATTATATGCCAGGAAGTCTTAGAGAAGCCAAAGTTCCTTACAGAGTTTATAGTTTGTGTTTTGATTTTTTTTTTTAACCAAATAAAATCTTGACACTGGCAAGCTGTTCTGCTGTTTGGAATTACACCAAAGCCCCTTGGAAGCAGATGTAGAAAGTGATTCTTAGCTGCTTTAGTTCTGATTTTTCACATTAAAGGGATGGCAGGAACCCACAGATGACATTCTTAATCCTTTTCTTACTTAAACTTCAAGAGCAATTTACAAGTCTTCCTAACACAATTTTGACTGGATATATATAAATACATACACAGCACTAATCATACATTTATTTCCAACTCCTAATAGACAACAATTTTTCAAGAACCATCAGCTGTTTTTAATCAACCTATAAACTGCATTATGGTTTTTTAGTTTTGTTTTTGGTGGTAGTGGGGTTGAACTCAGGATCTTGTGCTTCCTAGGCAGGTGCTCTACTCAAGCCACTCCCTAACTCTCATGATTCTTAATAATATACATTACATTAAGGCCCTGTTTTTTACCACTGTCTCAACTGCATTTTTTTTTTTTTTTGCCAGTCCTAGGGCTTGAATTCAGAGCTTGAGTGCTGTCCCTGAGCTAGCACTACAGTCTACCACTTGAGCCACAGTGCCATTTCCACCTTTTTCTTAATAGTTTAGTGAAGATATGTGTCTCAGACTTTCCTGCCCAGGCTGGCATCAAACCAAAATCCTCAGATCTCAGCCTCCTAAGTAGCTAGAATTACAGGTGTGAGCCACTAGCACCTGGCTGGCACCTTATTTTTTTCTATAAGTTTATCATATAGTTCTGCCTTTCAGGCTAACTTTTTCTATGTAAATTAGCCTTAAACTCTTTAATGAGCCTGAGAATTATATTTAATGATCCTTTAGCTTCCGTTACCATTACTTTCATGCTTTACTGAACCTATGATTCACCCAGCACTCATGTGAGTGCTTGAACAAGGCTATAACTACATGGCCCTTTCTATTCCTTAAGGCAGGTTATTGCCTTAAAGAATAAACATATCTGCACTTGGCTTGGTTGGTTTGGCTTAAATCGTCACATAATCATTAAAGGAGCAGAATTGGACTTTAAAAGAAAACAAAGTCTTCAATTACCTAAAAGACTGTCATGGAGTGGTAAAGTTTCATAAGAGAAAGATTTCACTTCAACATAAGGAAAAACTTGGAAACTTCTTACAGAGATTCAGTAATCAATCACTTGCCAAGAGATTTTGTAAAGAACACATAAAAACACTATCTGGCCTCCGTGGCCTTTAAAATCTTCTTCCAACCCGGAGATTCCACAGTTCAGGATTAGAAGGGATAAAAATACTAGCCATTTCACTCCCAGTAATTAGGAAGTGACACTGAACTCTAATTCATTGTAGTACAGAGGCTGATACTAAGGGATAAAGGCAAGCTTAACTGTTATGGACAACCCTGCACTAATGTCCAAGAACCTAGTCTGTAATGAAAGAAGTGAAGGGAGGTGCTGGCAGCTTAGTATGGTAGTCATAGAGAGGACACTGCTTATATTCACAAGGCCATGTGGACCAGGCATAGCGGAGAGCAGCCACAGTGGCAGTACAAGACAAAACATCCAAGGTCAAGATGTGGGAAGAGAAAACTTTCATGACAGCTGGAAGCCACTTGCAGCGATGTTCCACGCAACATGCCATCTAATGAGACAATCAGAAAATAGAAATGGTCAGATTAATTAGATGGTACCAAGAAACTGGCAACTGCACTGTCAGACACATTAGAAAGGAGGGAAGGAGCCACTTTTAGTCAAAGACCCATTTCCTATGTTAACCAGAAGCTGGACCAGCTTTGATCTGGTTGACGAAGCCAAAAGTTTATAAAACGTTCATGTGGTCTGAGAGTAGCTTAGGTAGAGACAAAGTCCTGAGTTCAGGCACGGTCCCAAAATAAATAGATGCATGAGATTAAATTAAGTCAATATATAAAACATACTGATGTAGACAAAGAATCATATCAAACATTTATAAGTTTCCCTGAACATTCTTCCCGTAGTCCTACCTGCTAGATAGCAAAGCAAGCAGGCATAACTATCATTGGCAACTGTACCTGGTTTCCAAAACTTAATTTCTGTCCTGACCTCAACTGGGGTTCCAGGGCCAGATGATGGACAGCCAGGCAGTAGCTGCCAAAAAGAGAGAATGCAGAGCCTTCTTGGGAGCCATAATTCACTTGACATTCATTATGGAAAGAAGCTAAGTGACATCTGAGTGCTGACATCTGAGGCAGGTGGTTATTGCAATCAAGATTCCAGAAAGGTAGGGAGCTGGTGGCTCACACGGTAATCTTAGCTACTCAGGAGGCTGAGATCTGTGGATCACAATTCAAAGCCAGCCCAGCCAGGAAAGCCCATGAGACTCATCTCCAATTAAGTACCACAAAAGCCAAAAGTGGAGCTGTGGCTCAAATGAGAGAGCACTATCCTTGAGCAAAAAAGCTCAGAGACACAGCACTCAGGCCCTAAGTTCAAGCCCCAGGACAGGCACAGAAAAAAAAAAATTTCCAGAGAAGCTGCAGAGTTAGATAAACTCCCATGTGAAGTTTGTCTAATATTCTCTCATCCCCTCTGGTACCCTCTTTACATATGCTCTCCCTGCCTAATGGCCTCTAGATTCCCAAAGACACCCCAATTCCATCCAGGAATGCCTCAACCCACTCACCCCCATCATCCTCAACTATAGAAAACTCATAATTAGTATCTTTAAACCAATAGCTCAATTGCACAACAGAATGGTCCTTACTTAGTATAAGAAGAAAACAGTATCATTAATTCATTCTAAGTTACAAATCACCAAGCTTAAACCTTTAAGGTAGACACAAAACTTAAAGGATATCAGAATGGAGTGTAGTGTAACAAAAACACCCAAAAATGAGGAGAGTATTTTGGATCAATGATTTTGTAATAATCTATTTAAAAAAAAAAAACCAAAGCATTTACATAAGCAAAGATGGCATTGTCTTGGAGTGGAAATACAAAAAGAATATTTAATAGGAGCTCATTTTCCCTTTCTTGATTATCCTGTCAAACTTGCCCCCTGAGATAATGAATTAATAGCTGCTTACTTATCTCTCTGAGATTAGCTCTCCCTCCCCCTCCCCTCCAACCAAGAGTTGCCTCATAGTCACATTATAATGACAGAGAAAGACTTTGTGTCAAGCAACCTTGGCAACTACCATGGGATGAAACCTTTTTTTTTTTTCTTTTTGCTTCTCACCTCAAATGTCCTGTTGCTCAGCTTCTGCAAATAGATCTGGATATGCCGGTTATAAGTGATGTTGAGCAGCCCTCCACGAGACAATAGTTCTAGCTTGTCAGGCAGTGGTCCTTGAAAGATCACATCCGTCTCCCCATAAGCCACAGCACGGGCTCCCAAGTGCAGCCGATAGGCCACAGTCTGTTTGTCTCGAGGGTGGATGCTACAGGATAAAGAATGAAAACATTGGGTTTGAACTCATTTTAAAGGAGATTATACAAAGCATTCCTGAAGTAGGTAAGGATAAAGTTACTGGACTCTTTGAGTAGTACTAGTCACCTTAAAAGAAATAGGAAAAGGTAACCATAGATTTGGCTCTGGGCCTTTGATGAGTTTAGAAACCTGGAAACAACAGAATACTTGGAAGGAAGAAAAAAAGAGAAAGAGAGAGAGAGAGAGAGAGAGAGATGCTAGGTTCCAATGGCTTATGCCTATAATCCTAGCTATTCAAGAGGGAGAGATCATCCGATTAGAGATTTAAAGCCAGGCAAGACAGAAAAATCTGTAACACTCTTATCTCTAGTCAACCACCAAAAAAACAGGAAGTGGAGCTGTGGCTCAAGTAGTAGTGTGTTAGCCTTGAACAAAAAAGCTCAAAGGACAGTTCCCAAGCTCCAGGACTGGCACTAAAACAAAGGTGAGGGGGAGAGGGGAAAGGGGTAGGAATGTACTCATTACCTGATTTACAAAATAACCCTCTGTACAACTCCTTAATAATTACAAGAAAATTAAATTTTTAAAGGGGGAGGGACAGGGATAACAAAGACATTCGAACAAACTTAAGAGAGCTTAACAAAATTATTCCCAATCACTCAAACTCCTGTGTTTATCTGGATTAAATGTTTATCATTTCTGCTCCTTCCAGATATAAACTGTATGAAACTTTAAGGTTGCTAGGGAAGGCAGGTCAATTTGGAGTCTATTGCTCTGGGTCCTGTGAATAAGTACAAAGAACAAAATGTTGGTTGACCTTTAGACCTTTAGACCTGAACTTTAGACCTCAAGACACGAGCTGTTTAGAGTTTTTTTGGGGGGTTGGGTTTTTGATATTGTTGTGGATGTTGAAACACATGCCTCCATTGATTACTGACATAGACAATTCAACTAAGCTCCAATCCTTAGTCCAATTTGTTCTCTCACAAGTAAACATCACAGTAAAGGACTACAGATGAACAACAGGCACTAGTCAAGCACACTCTAAGAAACAATCATACCTGCCGAAAGGTGAGTCCCTATCACCAAGATCCATAGTGACAGCCATGAAAGTGTTGCGCATTACTGTGTTGGGAACAAAGCCAAAATCTGCTGTTTGGTGCCATCGGATCTCAGGAAATCTTTCATCTGGTATTTCCGGTGACAAATAGGAAGATAACTGGAAAATAAAGACATTATTTTTTATTGAGTCAGATCCTATTCCAGAATGCTTTTTATTGGCAGGCTCTGCTTCTGCTTCATTGATCTGACCAAAAGCTCATTCAAAAAGAATTTACTGTGCAGGGCCTTTGCAGAGCTAGATGCAATACTCTTTCATTCCATGTGCCCTTTTACAATGCAACTTACCACAGCTCTCATCAAGAGTCTTGCTTCATCCTCCCATTGAATCAAGGCCAGCCCTGTGATTTGCTGACCAATAGAATATCCAGCTTCTGTTTGCCCCTAGAGGTCTTAACTTCTAGTTCCATCTCTTGGAACCCTATGCTGGTTGTAAGGGAGTGAGAGGAGCAGTTACTCTGGGTTATGCAAAAAGAGGTGGCCTTGGAAACAAAGATTGTGGTGAGAGGTTCCAGTTTCCCAACAATCTCAGCAGAGGGGCTTGCCGTGTGAATTCTACAGTCAAATTACAACCACATACACAAACCTAACTGGTAACACCGCAGGTAAAGATGAGCCTTCCCAGCTGAGTCCTGTCTGGCCAGGCCATGAATTATGAACAGATAAAATACTTAATTTTTTAACTACTAATTTGAGGAGTAGTTTGTTACAATGCAGTAGGTAACTGATTTTTTACACAGCACAGGGAAGCAAAGACCCAGCTGTTGCATATATGATAAGCTGCATCAAAGGCACCAATTCTTTTCTTTATTCCTTCCTATATCCACCACTGCCCTCCTTTTTTTTTTTTTTTTTGGTTGTGGGGCTTGAACTCTTGGCCTGGGTGCTGTCCTTCAGCTCTTCAGCTCAAGGCAAGCGCTCTACCACTTGAGCCACAGCACCACTTCTGGTTTTCTGGTGATTAACGGGAGATAAGAGTCTCACAAATTTTTTTTCTGCCCTGACTAGCTTTGAACCGCTATCCTCAGATCTCAGCCTCCTGAATAGCTAGGATTACAGGAGTGAGCCACCGGCACCCAGCTTATCTACCACCTCTTGCCATGTCACTTTACAGGTTTTCCCATGTTAAGAGGAAGCATAGATCCCCACTTGATTCTGTATTCAGCTACGTGGTTTCCTTTGGCCAACAGATGAAAGCAGACAATACAGTGTTATGGTGTGTCCATTCCTAGCCTAGGCTTCAAGAGACGTTGCCTCACTTGAACTTCTGCCGTAAGTAAGAAAGGGACATGTTTGGTTTAGTCCATTGATCTCTGAGGAAGGATGAGGGCTGTGGAACACAGCTGCCCATCCTCTCCATTCTGGACAGGGCCCAACTAGAGGAGAATCCCCTCTGAGCCACAGAGATCTGAAAGAGCCCCAGAACAGTTGAACCCAACATTATCAAATAAGGAGCCCCCAGAACTATAATATAGCTTATAATGAAGGTTATTATATTATCATAATATGTTAATACAAAAATTATATACTAACAATAATAAAGATTATTGTGAAGCCATGGAGTTTGGAGGTGGTTTGTCACAAAGCAGAAGCTAGCTGGAAAAAGTACTTCACAGTTTTGCTAAAGATATACCTGATATAAGAAATTTTATAGACAAGAAATGTTCATTAACAATGGCATAAAATAGTATGAGTTGAATGGTAAATTAGTGAAACAGTAATTATACATTTCAACTACATAAAGATTATTATAGGAAAACATGTCCTTACGATGTATTTTTTAAACCCTGGAAGGGCACAGTAAATACAAGAAGTCCCTACAAGTAGCCATGATTGTACTTGACATGCTACAATCGTAGAAGGGACAAAAGAAAGAGAATGGCTGTTTTGAGAGTTTAGCCTACGTGGATTGGAGGAATTATGATGGAAAGTCAAGGCTGGAAGGCTAACAGGTAAATTGTGATGGAATTGCCACTTCTGTACACAAAAGAAAACCACTGTAGCGATGGTGGTTGTGCAAACACAGAGTACCAATGAATTAAACACTTCAAAATGGTTAATCCTGAATTTCTTCTAAATTAAACATAGCCACTGAAATAGTTGACAAAAAGGATCACTTAAAAATATGAATACAGTGATCACACCAGAAACACTGATTAGTCAGGAAGCTACTATAATATTTGTTCTAGTTCAGATCTTGAGTGTATGTGCTAAGGCTTGGTTCTATCCTGTGGCTGGATGTGACAGAAACTTTAGAAGGTGGGGCCTAGTGGGAAGAAGTTAGGGTCACTGGAGGTGTGAGGAGAGGCTTATCCTTGAAGAAGATTTTGGAGCCAGGCGCTGGTGGCTCACGCCTGTAATCCTAGCTACTCAGGAGGCTGAGGTCTGAGGATCACGGTTCAAAGCCAGCCCAGGCAGGAGAGACCATTAGACTCTTATCTCCAATAAACCACCAGAAAACCGGAAGTGGCGCTGTAGCTCAAGTAGTAGAGCGTTCGCCTTGAGCTGAAGAGCTGAGGGACAGTGCCCAGACCCAGAGTTCAAGCCCCACGACCGACCAAAAAAAAAAAAGAAGATGATTTTGGAATCCCAGCTCCCTCCTCGCTATTTCAAAATGTCTAACCTCTGGGGTTGATTGAACCCCTCCCTCTGCATAACTAATGTAAGTAAATACAACAACAAAATGTCTGACCCACCCCCATTTGAAGAGCTGCATAATAAACAGATTGTTCTACCCAGTCTTATTAGGCTGCACAGCCCAGGAAATACCTGACATCACCTCTACACATATAGCTCAATAAAACTTTAAGTAGAGGACATTTTCTGCTGAATGGCTTCACAAAGTCATCAGGAAAACATGGAGGGGAATCCATGGTAACAGAAGGAGCTTGGGTAGAATTTCAGTTCTCATTTTTAAGTTTTCCTATGTAAATTCGCTTTAACAGGAAATGATACGAGCTGAAGTTGCCCAATGGAATTTCACAAAAACTAAAAAATAGGCCCTCATTGAGCCACCCTATTTCTTCCACACAACATCCAAAGCCTGAAAATGGAAACATGCTTACCATGCTTAACATGCTACAGTGAAAACCACAGCAACAAAGTCATGAGAAATAACATCTTAACAGGAAAACTTGCTAAGCCAAAGACTAAAGGAGCTCCTCAAGCCAACAGCCTTTCCTCCAAGTGTCAGTTGGCAGAGAATCCCTGCAATTGTCCACTGATTGCACTACTGCATACTGGCCGCATGGTGGCACCAGCATAACACACACACACGCACACGCACACACACGTGCGCACTTGTGTTTTTCCTGAGATCTGATGAGACAGTGCTGTGTCTCCCACAGTGATTTGTACAAATACTGTGTAATGAAGGCATACACCAACCAAAGAATATTAGACAAGCCACATTCCCATGTTTTACAAATAGCATCCAGCAGTTTTCATTCTGTTTTTCTGAGTGCCCTTTGAAAAAACACACTCATAAGGACTATAAGCCCCCAGCCTCCAGCTCTTCTTTTCTCTCAAGCTTCTGGTCACTTTTCTATCAGTAATTCTTGGATACACTTCCTAATCATGGAATTCAGAGTCCTATATCTCAACTCTGCTTACCTGACACATGGAGGACCGTGGGTTCAGTCCCTGGTACTGTGTAAGCATTCTAATCAAGTTGTTCCTTTTAGATCTAACAATTTCATTTCTAGTAACTTATTACAATAATAAAACTACAAGGGATTTACTATAAGGAAAATATACATGCTTCTACTTATAAAAGCTAAATGCTGAAACAACCTAAGTATCTATCTATTAACTCATTAAACACATTACATTCATATTCTACACTCCTTAAATTGTGTTGAAGATAAATATTTTTGGCATGAAAAAGTGTACATAGTATTACATTAAGAGAAAAGACAGAACAGGGTATAATATTGTGGTGTGGGTCCCATCTCATGAGCAGGAAGATAGGTTTTTCTAGACTGTGGAATTATTAGTGCATTTAGTTTCTTTTTTTTTCTTTTTGCTTATCTTTTCATTTTTTTTCCAGCGAGCCTATAGTGCTTTTTAAATAATATTAGTATTTAATAAGCATATTCATTTTTAGATGTATTTGTCTCATCAGGGAACTCAAATGAATTAAGTGTGATTTCAATTCTAGACTAGCACACCATTAAGGGAAAAACAGGAATATGAATTCAAGAGAAAAAAAAAGATCTAAACAGCACATCACACACTGGTGCTCATAAACTCTCTTCCTGTCAGCATATACCTGGACAAACCCAAACGGGAAGAAACGTTCAGTCTGACCCTGAGAGCCATCATGGAAGGTTTGGCGCCAGTCTTCAATGAGCGCAGGGAACGTGCAATTATACTTGTCCCTGTAATAGTCCATATTGGATTCTCCTAAAAATAGTCAAAATTGGAAAAAGAGATTGGAGTAGGTTTCAAAAATAGCATACATTCCTCTCCTCCCTTCCCATTCATGCCCTGAAGTAGGCTCTTCCCACAGTCTCTCAGGACTAGCCTGTGACTTGCCAATGAGGTGACACCACACATGACATAGGTTTAAAAAGTACTTCAGTACGGAGTTTGGCTCTCTCTTGATTCTCTTGCAATCTGAGACTACTATGTGGATCATAAAGGTGCCTGAACCAGCTTGCTGAAGGGAGAAAAGCCATTTGAGAACTATGGGGCAGCAGATAACCCCCCAATCAATGGATGTGAAGGAGAGACCATCTTAGATTCTCAGGCCATCAGAAAACCTAACAGATATATGTATTATTGATTAATATTATACAGAATATTACATTATTATATTAATTATATTATATATTGTAGTAATATAAGATATTAATCAATAATATATTTATATGTAATATTTATATATGTAAAGTTCCCAGCAGAAATTAACTGAATAGTCAAGACAAATGAACAAGTCTTAATCCAGAAAATCATGAGCTGAATAAATTTTTTTAAATACTGTTTTTTAAGGCATTAACTTGTCAGATGGCTTGGTCTATTGTAAAAACTAACTGATACAATGGAGATACTTGCAGATCACACACTCACCCTGATACCATATCACCCCTTTCAGAGTCATTGTATGTAGTGGATGGATCATGGCATTCCAGAGGACTGAGTGATTTCTGGGACCAGTTACAGATTCTGGAATGCCCCTGAAATCAAGAAGATACACAAATGTCACCAGAAAGTTAGTGATTGATCACTTTTTCCACTTTTACTAGGCATCAATTTACTTTGACTCAGGACAAGCATCCGATGAAAGGGGCACAGAAGTAAACTGCTCAACTCTATTTCATTGTGAATAGTCTCTGAATTTTACCGCTGTTTTCTTCCCAAGATACCAGTCAGCTTTGTGTAGGTCCAGAGTGAGGCATGCCAGCCAATGGACAAGGTCAGTAAAGCCAAAAGGGAGGGGTGATTTATTGTGAATCCTCCATACAGGAAATAGATTCAGCTACTACTTAACAGATGAACACTAGATGGGAGTTACTTTCTTGCCTTCACAAGCAATACCATGAATATCTTCCACATAGCTAAAATGATGGCATACTCGCTTAATTCTTGCCCTAAAATAAATTCTCAGTAATGCATTGCTGAGTCAAAAAAAAAAAAAAAAGCACAAAGAAAATTTGGTACATGTTCCAAAATGTCTCGGTAGAATTCATATATGGACTTATCCTTGCAGTGGCAATATATGACTATTTCAACTCTCCCCAGCCAGTCCTTGTATTCTCTCTCTCCCCTGCAGAGGTCTGGGGCACCTGCCCTTAACTCCCAGGTGCTGAGTGTAGGTACTCCTTTTCTACTGTCCTGCAGTTTATTCTTTTTGTCCAAAGTTAATGTATCTAGTCCCCCACAGACAAGGACTCACCTAAAACTACTAAGAGCAAAGTCCTTCCTTTTCCCCGAGTTCTTCCCAGAGTCAATGAGACAATGTTAAGGAAAATGGGGCATGACTGCTTATCTCTATTGTGACAGCAGTACTGGGATTGTTATTAACTAGTTCTTTCTCCCTACATATACTCTTCCCGATTCAACTTTTCTTAAGTGAGCTTTCATATTCAGTATACTAATTAGCATACTGATGTATACTAATTCAGTATCCATTTTTCCATCTTTTATCAACATATTTTAGTTGTACAAGGGATTATCATTCAACAGATCTGTTTGTAAGTACAAATGCATCTTGATCTATGTCACCCCTTCTCTTTTTTATTCTTGTCATTTGTTTTTAAGGACCAGATTCCCCCTGAGAGAGAACATGCTATCGTTGACTATCACAGTGGGGCTTACTTCACTTAGCATGATCTCTGATTCTTCCTGTCAAGGAAATTATTGAATTTCATTCTTTTTTATTGCTGAACAATACTCCATATGTGTGTGACATATATATGTACATATATATATATATATATATATATCACATTTTCTTTATGAGTACCTAGGCTGTTTCTATATTTTGGTTACAGTGGATGAATACTGCTGCCATAAACATGGTTGGTCAGGTATCTCTTCTTTACACTGACTTATATTCATTCAGATATACACCCAGGACTGATCTAGGTGAATCACATGGTAGTTCTAGCTTTAGTTTTTCAAGGAATGTCCATACTTATTTCCATAGCAGCTACACTAATTTACATCCTTCCCAACAGTGTATTAGAGTCCCCTTTTCCCCATATCCTCTCCAGCATTTGTGGTGGTTTGTTTTCTTGATGATTCTGATTGTGACTGGGATAAGATAGAATCTCATCCATATTTTTATTTGAACAAGCATGTTGAACATGTTTCTTCCTGTATTTCTTAGACATTTGTACCTCTTTTGAAAACTTTTCAATTCATTGCCTATTTTTACTTGAATTATTTACTATTTTGGTTTTTGTTTTTGATGTTCTTTATATAGTCTAGGTATCAATCCTTTATCTGACAAATAACTGGCCAAAAAGCCCATTCTGTAACCCATTTCTTTAAATTCTGAAAATGGTTTCCATTGCTGTGAAGAGCTTTTTTTATTTGAGAGATAGATGATAGATAGATAGATAGATAGATAGATAGATAGATAGATAGATAGATAGATAGATAGATAGATTTGGTAGTACTAGAGTTCCAACTTGAGGCCTCCAGCTTCCTAAGCAGATACTCTGTTGCTGAACCAAGCCTCCAGCCCTTATTTTTACATTGTTCCCCCCACCCACCCCACTCACAAAAAATTGGCTGGCCTCAAACTGCAATCTTCCCAATCTTAGCCTCTCAAATAGCTAGGATTATCAAATACAATCCATCAGCACCTAGTCTAATATTTTTGTATATATGTTTATATATTTGTTCTTCCTGTAAAAATACTTATTCCTCAAAGCACAAAGTTCAGAACTGAGACTATGACACTTAGAAGTGCTGTCCATAAGTCAGTCACTAAAACTCTCTGAGACTTAGTCTCTACTCAAGAGATGTTAGTAGTTGTATACTTTAAGGAGTTGTTGTGAGTATTAGAAGAATTAATATCCATAAAGGGCTTAGAGAAGTGTCTGGCATACAGAAGGCTTTCAGTAAGCATTGCTATTACTAAAGAAAAGGATCATAATTCCTTTTTGACATTTTCTTAGGTGACTACAGTGCTGATTTTCTCAGGTGACTGCTGTACATGAATAAATGGGTGGAATTTTCCACTCGTCCACCCATTCAATACATATTTTGACACTCAAGATCTACTTAACTTCCCAAGAGAGTTATCTTCTCATATGAACTTCCTTGATAGGCTTTCTCCCAGAACACTTACCTTGTCAAATAGACTCCACAGGTTCTCAGTGACCTTGGAGATGACCAGGCTTCAATGGGAGTCCCACCCCAGCTAGAAGAGATGAGCCCAATTGGATACTTCAGAGTTTCGTACAGGTAACGCCCAAAGAGCCAGCACAATGCTGACATATATGTGAAATTGCCATGGCCTAAATTTCCTGTCCAGAGAAACAAAACAGTTAAGAAAAAAAAGTAGATAAAACACAAACTGCAGCTACTAGATAGGTGTAGGGGAGAGGAGTGATTCTGGGTCTTTTGTTCCTTTCTGATGCTTTGAAAAGGAGGATAAGAGGCAACGACAAGACCCAGCACCAACACTAATTATTTCCTTCAAACCTTCCCTGAGGAGTATGTTTTCAAAGGGGAAACTGATAGACTTAGTGGCAATTTCCTTTTATCTCTCTTCTATTTTTTTTTTCCAGTTGTTCAAAATGCTTGTTCCCATAATGCCTGGCACAGAGGCAAATGGTAATTATTTTGCTCTCAATTTGGGTATAAACAATTCAGTTACATAACCTGGAAGACACTTGAGGCAGGGAGCAGGATTCCAGGGCCCCTAAGGTTCTTTGAATCTAGGACTACTAGTCTTCCTGAATAGATAAGTGGCACAAAAGTCATTTGGTTCTTATTCTACCCTCTTCTCTCCTTTCCTCTTAGCCAGCCCCTCGCTCCCACTGTGGTTTGTGGGGAAAAAAAAAAAAAAAAAAAGCAAGCAGGAAGTAGGAAGAGAAGAAATGTGTTTTGTTGTTGTTGTTGTTTTTCTAGGAGATTTTATACTCAATTTTATGGCTGCAGTAAAGAAATCATAGACACATAAGAGATGAGAAGTCTGGCAAAAGGGGAAACAAAAGAAAACAAACCAGGTTTTAAACTTTCAGCAGTCTAAACTCGTTTGTCTGCATTGCTTAGAAACTAATACAGGCCAGAGTGAGTGATTTCCATGTGAGAGGCCAATGGATGTAGACAGTGCACATACACACAGCTGATAGGACCAATCCAACACAATAGTCAGTAAAGACTTACTGTGCAGAAGTCACTGCCTGACTTGGCACTATGAAAGATCAAACTCAACACTGTACAATCCAAACCCTCCAAGAGATGGCAATGTAATCCTGTAAGTTCAAATCAATCACAAATGAATTAAAATTGACTGAGCACCTACTATATGTCAGGAACTACTAAATAGCTGGGATACCATAATTTAAAAAAAGATATAGAAAACTGATTCACACCTTAAGTCTTATGGTTTACAGAATAAGACAAGTATTTAGCCAAATAAAATTACTAGCCTGGTTGGGCACTGGTGGCTCACTCCTATAATCCTAGCTACTCAAGAAACTGAGATCTGAAGATCATGGTTCGAAGCCAGCCCAGACAGGAAAATCTGTGAGACTCCAATTAACCACCAAAAAGACAGATAGCGCTGTGAATCAAGCAATATGGCCCTAGCCTTGAGCAAAAAAGCTCAAGGACAAGCTCCCAGGCCCTGAATTTAAGCCCCAGGACAAGCACACATACACAACAAAATTGTAATAATAATAATTGCCTAACAAGCATGAAACCCTGAGTTTAAACCTCAATACTGATAAATAATTAAGTGCACCAAAATGTGTAAGCAAGTTTTAATGAAACTTATTTAAATTTTCAACTTCTAGACTATTTCTTTCACTGATTAGTATTATGTTTCATTTTTCCATACTGGGGATCAACCCCAGGGCCTTGTGTTAGGCAAGTTCTGCACTGCTGCACAATGTCCCCAGCTCCAACTCCTGATAGTACTTAGTTTTAATACCAAAGAACAAAATACCAAGTGAAAAGAAGATCATAAAAAGCCTAATATAGGGTGAGTTTCTTCCCTCCATGCATAGCTCCATCCCTAAACTTCCTGTAATGGTCTTCCCAGGGCTTCCCTCACCCATAACGCTGCTAGTCACCCAAAGGCATGAACTTCATCTTCTTCATAGTATCCCTAATGTCTAGGACATAAGTGAGAGCCAATTAATGTGTATTGGCTTGTGTTATGTGGCTATGGTATTTGGTTCAACGTGGATTCTGCCAAGAAGGCAAAAGAAAGGGAGAAAAGAGATGAGGAGGTGTAAAGGAAAGACAGGCGCTCTCAATAAGCAGAGCCGGCATTCAAGGCAAAAGAAAAATTATGTAAAAAAGAGACCTTAAATAGGAAACTTTCTGAAAGTATTTAGCTGGAACAGAGATTACAAAAGGAAGCTAATGGAAGGTAAAGCTGGAGGGGAAGATTAAAGCTACACAGAGTTAAGAAAATGGAAAGCCATTTGAAAATGTGACTGTGCAGCAGGCAGGACAGACCACCCTCCCCCCCCCCCCCTCCAGATGTGCTCACCCTAATCCCTGTAACCTGTAACTGTTACCTAGAAAACCTGAATGCCTTTGGTGGTATGATTCGGGCTAATCAGCCTGCAGTAGAAGAGGTGTGTCCTCGACCATCCAGGTGGCTCCAATCTAATTATAGGAGTCCTTAAAACCAGAGATGTTCTTTTGCTGGTACAGAGGGACAGGACAACAGGCAACAGGCAGGAGGGGCTGGGACATGGCTCATGGTAGAGCGCCTGCCTAGTGTGTGTGAGGCCCTGTGTTCAATCTGCAGTGCCGCAGACAAGAAAAAGAGGCAGGAGAGATGCTAACGTGGGAGGGACAACCAGGGCCACTATGTTCTTCCCTCAAGATCTACATGGCCTCTTTCAGGAGGCATGACGGGAAGTCACCTTGCTCCTTGGGACGCCTCTGGCCATTCTAAATTGAAAACACTACTCCAGCTCAGCCCACCCTCCCCACTGCCTCTATTCTCTGATGAGTATGTTTATTTTTGTCTCATTAGCACATCACCATTTACCCTACCCTGTGATATCCAAATTTTATTCAGTCTTCGAATTAAGAGACTAACTGGGAATTCAGAGAGCAAGGTGTATATTACCCGATTCTGAATGATTCCTGAGTTCTGAATAACATACACTGTAAGTTCTTGGAGCAAAAGATTTATCCAAAAATTCACCTGAATCCATTCGGTTCTGGAGCTCTTATAGTGTCAGAATAGACAGAATCAGTACATATGTCATTCTTCCAGAATTCTCCCACTCTAGTCTGGAAGCACCATGAAGTCAGGTGTTTTTATTCATTGCTCTGCCCCAACTGCTCAGAATAGCACCTCTCAGATAGTGGGTACCAATCTAAGATTAGGTTGGCCAGATAAAGTGTGGACAGACACAAAAGGATTGGGTCAAGATAGAATACAGGAGCCACATCTAAAAGAAGGAATTGAAGAAACAAAGATGACAGAGGAGAACTAGGAAAAGGAAGTATTCAAGTATTCAGAACATACTGTTTCTAAAAGGGATGGCTGGCAGTCTTGAAGGCAGCAGCAGTCTACATAGTTTAAAAAGAGAAGAGTTGTAACCTTGAGGTGGACAAATTGTTGAGGCGGAAGCAGAAGCCAGATAAAGGATTAAAAACATGAATCCTTGGCAAGGCAGTGAAAAGAATGAAAACAAAAAAATGCTTTAGAAAGACGAAACAAAGCAAAGGAGACATGGAGCTTTGAGAGGATGGTGTTTTGTTATATTAGCTTTGATTCGTTAGGATAAGAGAAAGGCTAAAGTGTGGGGACAGACTGTCTTGTCTTAGTCACTGTGTCCTTGGGGGCTAGCATGGAGCCTGACACGGAGGATGCATGAAATAAAGATTCCATGCGGAAGCAACAGTATGGGAAATAACAGAGCTTAAAGAATAAGAGAAGCCTCTGGAGAAAGTAAGCACTGACATCCAAAGTAGCCTTGAAAGGACACCAGTCAGTTGTCTTCAGACAAAAACAAAGGAAGAGAATACAAGCTGGGCAGCAGTGGCTCGTGCCTATAATCCTAGCTACTCAGGAGGCTGAGAGCTAATGATCAAGGTTCAAAACTAGCCTGGGCAGGAACATCCATGAGACTCTCATCTCCAGTTAATCAGCAAAAAGACAGAAGTGGAGCTGTGCCTCAAGTGGTAGAGTGCCAGCCTTTATGCAAAAAAGCTAAAGGACAGCCTTAGGCTATGAGCTCAAGTCCTACCCACGCCCCCCCCCCCAACACACACACACACACACACACACACACACACACACACACACACACACACACACACACACACACGGGAAGGGAAGGGAAGGGATGGGAAGGGAAGGGAAAAGATCAAGAAAAGATACAGAGAATTAAGGCAATGGAGAAAGATTGGCCCAGATCGTGCTGGGCAGCCTCCATATTTTCACTGAAGTGGAAGGAAGATCCATCTCCTAATCTCAAGGGGAAAGTCTGACAATGTCTTGGAAAGAAACAAGTGAAGCAATGACCATCAGGAATGGGATGGAGAGTTGATAAGAACAAAAGGATAGTATAGTAATAATCAATACACAAGTAAGAACCAAACTGAGGCTTACAGCTTCCAATTATAAGGCGCTAACCCATTACCTAGGAGATGGCTGATGTTGAAGCTCTCACGCACCTGAGGTGGGCTTAGACCACTCCAAGTCAACCTCATCAAGGTCCTCCAGCTCCTTCTCTGACTGAACGAGAGAGATGGAGAGGAGGCGGACAGATTGATAGGCCTCAGTGTTGGACATCTCCTCTGTAGCATTAAAGATCTAGAAGAGAAATTGAAATGTCATTTCATCTAGAGGCTACCACCCCTAAGTAAACACTTCCTGCCGGCTAAGCTCTTGCTGAGACTTCAATATACTGAGATGAAAGAATAACTGGTAACAGGCTGGACTGAATCACATGACCCACTCTGACCAACACAAACCATGATGTATAATGTTCCCAAAGAGGATTCAAATACAGTGAAACCTGTAATCCAGAGCAGGTCTGCATTACACAAGAGGAGCTGTGCAGTGCTGAGACAAAATACTGACTCTCAATTAAATCACTATGATATCGTGAACCTTAAGGACTTCTCTGAAAAAGTATCTGATAATATAAAGCCATGGAATTAACTTCCCATCCAAAAAAAAAAAGTGCTTAAAGAGCTTCTGTGGAGCCCAATAGGTCACAAGGTGGTAGATTATGTGATCCATACCAACAAGAGAATTGCATTGAAGAAGCACACCTGAGCAATGATGGCTGAAGCACTACAATCAGGCTCATGATGCTTATATTCTCAACTCTGTCTTGGCGACTGACTGACTGAAGGTGGTGTTCAGAGTAAAGGCTCTGAATAGTTTGAAGGAATTAAACAATGACTGGGGTCCTTCCAAAGATACATCACATCTTCCTAAATCACTTTTATGAACCCTGGTCAGCTGCCAAGAATATGACAGAGGTGGCTTAGGGTTTGGTGATTTGGGTTTGGATGAGAATGTGTGTGACTCTGTTTAGTTTATTCCTTAGTCTTGTTAAGCCTTATTCTTCTATGAGCTTAGGCACACCTTATTTCCTTTTGTTCCAATATTTAAATGACACCTTTCCTTTACTTAAAAATAATAATAAGTAGGCGATATCCTGGCTTGTATATCCTATTTGTATGCATGTTCACTTGAGTCTCTTGGTCCCTTTGGACTAGTTCAGCTTCTCCCCAAACAAAGGGCAAAGTGGAGCATCAGGAAGCTCAGTTACCATTTGCCTCAGGGAACAAGTGCTCCAGCTGAGTCCGGTGGCACAGCAAGAGACACAGGAAGACAGGATACTTTCCATTGGCTGCTAGCCACGGAGTGTGCAGCTGCCTCTTCTTCCCTCCCTCCCACCTACCACAGAGAATACAGCTGGCCTTCCAGCCTACGATGAAGCGAAAGGATGGAGCAGCCAGGGTGCCCCCACAGAACATCACATTGAAATATGCTGCCCCATGAATTGTTTTTTGACTTGCTACATTGCCCACTACAGCCAAGGAGCTGGTCAGATGCAAATAAAACGGCTTTTTGGTCACAATAGGAGCTAGAGCCTAAAATGCCTCCTGGACAGCAGTGGCTCCAGCCTATCAAGGTTACTGATCTTGCCACATTCAGCACAGAGATTACAAACAGTCTCAGGGAAAATTCCACAGGAAATCCACATCCTCCTTCAGGATCTTGCCTGACAACTTTAAAGTAAAATAAACACTAAAGAGTAAGAACAGGCTAAAACCACTCACAGTATATTCTGGCAGGGAAATAATTTTTCAGCAGTAAGTACCTGTAAAAAGTCACCTCCCTTGAAATTCAGCTCTGCGTTAAACACGAAGCATCATGTGTTGCTTCCATGGAAACAGTGGATGGAGCTGCTTTCATTCTCTCCACCCACACTAGCTTCCGCACTGCCTGGGAACGCAAGCACCTCATGGCGCTGAGATGCCAGCTTGGGGAGGCAGTATGGGAGAATATGCTCCTTGTCTTTTTAGACCCCTTGCTAATGCTGCAGAGTATTGCCAGGCCAACAGAGTCTGGGTGGCTGGCATTCTCCTGTATTATTACCAGCACATGAACAGGATTCAAAATATTGGCTGGAAATTTTCCGTTCTCCAAATCACATTTGTATATTATTTCAAGCCGGTTCTTGAAAGCCACAGAAAGTGTTAACATAAATGGGGGTGGGGAAAACCCATGCTGTACCTGATAGCAATTACTTCTGAAATTGGTATCCTTTCCCAGTATCACTAGGCCTTTTCGATGGAAGCATTTCCTCGGGGATATTGGCAGCAAACTTAGGAATAAAGAGATTTCAGGAAGATTTTCATTTAAATGACACTTGGTTTCCCTGCTGATGAAAGGGGAAGCCTTACTCCATCTGCTGAGATCAGATTTCATCTCATCAAACACCTCGGTGTAATTATTTTCCTACCAAGTATTTAAATGAGGATGTAAATGAATACCAAGGTATTTGAAGTCATTAATGCTGCTGAGGCTGAGGGAGAACACCGCTGTCTCTCTAGGGACTAGACCACTCGCCATCAAAGCAGCTGCTCACTGGTGTTCATTTTGTAACCTTTATACCACATTCTTGAATTAATGAAGACACGTCAAGAATCTATTTCCTCAGAGAACCTTGGCATGAGGTCTCCGTGGGGGAGCAAGTTATGTATGTATGTATGTGTGTGTATGTGTGTGTGTGTGTGTGTGTGTGTGTGTGTGTGTGTGTTTGCACCTATGTAGACACATGCATGCATATGGTAAAAGGACACAGGAGAAGCTTAATTATTTGTGTAAGAGAATTTGGAGATTCTGTAAGTTATTTTACCTTCACCATCATATTATATAGTAGTCCTAAAATTAATGTCGTAACTATAAATAAACTAGTCACTGTCACTGCAATGAATCTTTTATTGGGGCATAGTGCCAACCCTTCCCTCTGGATTTTAATTTCTCTTGTTGTAAAGTAAGAATACAGAGAATGCCAAGCTACAGAAAAATGAATTTGCTGTCTGATATTGCCATCTTTTACTGAGCCTAACTAACTAGAAATATTCAAGTCTTTTTTGTTGGTTGGTCAGTGATATTGGGCCTCACACTTGTTAGACCACTTGCTCTACCACTGAGTCATGCTTCCAGCCCTGTTTTACACTGGCTAATTTTAGGATTGGGTCTCATTTTCCACTCAGTATGCAAAGTCCATCTGCTTTAGGCTTCTCAAAGTTGGCGGGATAAAAGTAAAAGCCATGAAAAGGGAGTATCACTAATTTTTCTACCCAAGTTGGTCTAGGACTGTGATCCTCCTAATTTCATCTTCCCATGTAGCTTAGAAATGACATGCCTGTGCCACTGTACCCAGCTGAGTTGAAAAGGGGATCTCATAAGCTTTTCTGCCCAGACTAGCAAGGAATCACAATCTTTGTGATCTCAGCCTTCTAAGTAACTAGAATTACAGGCGTGAGCCACCAGCTCAAAATATCCAAGTCTTAAGGCCTACCCTGACTTAGGAGCTGACAGATGAACATTTAGACTTTCCTCCATTTATAAACATCTCACTCAGTGTTATAAATAACATTCCATTTTAAAATTCCACTTTACCCTAACAACAAGATGGGCATACAATCTGCCATTTCTTCTTTGAATGTGAAGAGCAGTAGGTTATAGTGAGAATCTTAACTTTCTCAAGAAGACACGTGGAGGGAGGGAAGGAAAAAGAGACCCTGTGTGTGTGTGTGTGTGTGTGTGTGTGTGTGTGTGTGTTTGGAGTCTGTCGTAAGAAAGGAGCAAAAGGAATAAAGGGGGAGTAATGTAATATATTATTCTGATCAAAATGTAAGAGATTAGAAAACTTGGCTTTTAGCATTACCAACATCTAAAATGCTGTCTTGCCACTAAAGTGCATAGTTGTACAAAAATTAACACATGTATGTTTCAAATGGAATCTTTTATTTCTATTCCCTTAGGTCTCAGAGCTCACAGCTTCAGCTTGATATAGAAGATGCTTCAGAGTAAAATCTAGGCAGAAAGAACGTGTTTACTCTCAACAATCAAGATCTGATTTCATTTGACAGAAAATGGGATGGGATCCTTTGGCATAGACTGCTACTGAGAAAATGTCTGTATAGATATAAACAGATCTGGTCCATGCCTTTCTGAACAAACACAGAACAGCAATTAAAGCATTACGGACAGTAGTGTTTTCCTTAAGGAGTTAAAAGCAATTCTACTTCTATATAAATCCATGCTTTCTTCAAATTGGTATCTGTTCACTTATGCTTAAAAGAGTCCAGCCAAAGTTCAGCTTTTAAGTATTTTAAATCAAAAAACTTTCATATATTTAAGTAAGGCAGGAAGTCAGGTAAATAAAATAAAAGAATTTAGATTTTTCTTTCTTTCTTTTTTTTTTTTTGTCATGGGGCTTGAACTCTGGGCTTAGGTGCTGTCTCTGAGCTCTTCAGCTGAAGGCTAGCACATTACCACTTCAGCCACAGTGCCACTTTCAGTTTTCTGGTCGTTAATTGGAGATAAGAGTCTCACAGGGAAGTTCCTGCCCAGGCTGGCTTTGAACCACGATCCTCAGATCTCAGCATCCTGAGTAGCTAGGCACTAGCACCCGGCAAGAATTTAATTTTTAATTAGAAAACTAATGATAAAATGAAATAGATATGTCCAGTGTGGACTGCTCTTAGTAGCATTACTTAATAATAGCTTTGTTGGGCTGGGAAGGTGACTCAGTGGTAGAGCGCTTGCCTTGCATGCTCGAGGCCCTGGGTTCCATTCCTCAGCACCATATAAGCAAAAAGAAAAAAGCCAGAAATGGCGCTGTGGCTCAAGTGGTAGAGCGCTAGCCTTGAGCTGAAGAGCTGAGGGATAGCGCCCAGGCCCAGAGTTCAGGCCCCACGACCGGACCAAAAAAAAAAAATAATAATAATAGCTTTGTTTTGTTTTGTTTTCAGAAGAAACTACAGAGAAGGAACAGAATCAAACCAAGAAACCTTAAAGGATATAAAAGTATTCCATTTTATAATTTTTTCAGAAAGAAAACTGAATTGAACTTATACTCTAGCTACAGAGACTTTTTTACCTCGAATTTAAAAGTTTCTAAGATAGAGAAATGGCTAATAAAGATAAAAAAAATATAAAATTAACTATAGAAGAAACTCCATTTTAGAAAAGGACTAAGAAAAACAGTAACTTCTCCAAGTTTTAGACTCTTAAAGGAAATAAAATCAAAGTATATACACATATTAGTGCTAACCAATAATTGACTAGTCAATAATTTACCTCTTAAGGTTGTTATATTAAATTAGTTAATACATGAAAATACGTTCCTGGCCCATGGTAAATACTGAAAGAATAGAAAAAGACTTCCTTCTTGTTGTTCCCTTCTCTTCTTTTTCTTCATTATTTTCAATATTATTTACTGTTGCTGAAAAATCTGCAAATTACCTGTAAAACGGTCATCTGCATGTTACTCTGCCCACTGCAAAGCCAGACATCTCCAAATAAGATATCATGAATTTTTAGGGTGAATCTCATTATCCCCAAAGTCTGATGTGCCACCAGTTCATAAGGTCCACCTGGCTTCATAGGATCCAGTATAACCATCCAGACATGAGAGGGTGCTGAAATAACAACAATAATTCCAAGGAATTAATCAGTCACTTAAAATGAAGTTAAAGCCCAGCCATACTCATTTGTGATTATTCCCAGCTTGTGATAAGTTGCACTCAAAGCTGTAAAGATTGGCCACATTTCAGATAAGGAGATGGAGCTAACAATAGAAGCAGCATTTTTATCCTTAATCTGTACCAATCCCTCTTTATTTTTAACTGAATATTGATGAGAAAAATAAGTTCCGTAACTGTAATCCTAAATTGGGATAGACAAAAATAAGCACACATTAAAATTCATGAAAGTTGAGTAAAAAACGTAAAATAGAAATTTTCATTATACTATCCAACTGTCAATAGTAACAATCTAATCCCCCTGATTTACGTAGCTCCCCAGACTAACTTGTAATTATCCAATCAACGTGAGCCAAGGTTAGAAAAACTCATTTATAATCTGAATATTCTCCTTACTAGGTAAGATTACCTTGGTCATAAAACATCCTCCCATGTTTCTTACAAAGATTAATACTAGCAATAGATATGGGAAATTATAAATAATCAGTACATGCAAATAATGGTCTTAATGTTTACCAATGGTTCTGTATTCTCCTATCAACAAACAAATTCAATGTAGTAAGAGAGCCAAGCACCAATTGATCATGTCTGTAATCCTAGCAACTCAGGAGGCAGAGACCTGAGTATCTCAATTCAAAGCCAGCCTGGGTAAGAAATTCCATGAGGCTCTTATCTCCAACAAAAACTACTAAAAAAAAGCCAGAAGTAGAGCTGTGGCTCAAGTGGTAAAGATACAGCCTTGTGCAAAAAGAAGTTCATGACAGCCAGTACCCAGATCCTGAGTTCAAGCCCCAGGACTGGCACAAAAATAAAACCAAAACAAAATAAAACAAAAACTGTAAGAGATCCTTCCTCTCAGCTTCAGTGTCATACTCAAAGTCGTAAGAAAAATGCTTCCAAAATGGCAAAATTAAGCTTCATTATTTATGGTCAAATGACTTAAAAGTACAGAAATATGAGTGGAAAAATAGAATAAGATAAATGTTAAGCAAAAATTTCTTTCCAAGAATTTGAACTGATTTATAATCTATTCCCATCAGCTAAGTATAAATTCAAAAGAAAGAATAATATGAACTGAAAAGTTATTATATCCAATTATAATCATTATAAAAATACCATACAAGTGCCTACTATGTGTTAGACACTGTGTGTCAAGTTCTTTTCTAATCAGTAAGGACTACGAATAAGCATGAGATGCCCAGATGCACTTTAAGAGATTAGTAAAAGTTTTAACCACAAGGGATTACTTAAGAGTCCTGGAGAAAATGTTCCAAAACTCCAAAGCATGTTTATCCTACTGAAAAGTGTGACCCACTGAACTTGCTACTCTGTCCCTGGAGTTCGGTTAAGCCAGGACCAAGTATTCACTACTGTTTTTCTATCACCAATAGCCAGACATCAACATATTAAATGCACAATTCACCTAAATCAGAAAAATCACTGTTTTGGAAACAGTGGGCAGCTAGTACAGATTGTGTCGCACAGGTGTGATGTGCTCCGTATGGCTCACACTTCTGAGCAGGCAGACGCTCCAATCTGTCCTAATACAGTCTTGCCAAGGTCTTTCCAGGCTTCCTTCACTGAAGCTCTGTCCTTCTGGCACCAGAATTACTCATTTATGATGATGAGGTCAATCCTCAGAAAACCTGGCTTCATCCAGGCCACAGAGGTGGTAAAGAAAACTGCCATCACTAGAACTTCTGAAAAGGTTTCTCCCAGTAATAATAACAATAATAATAACAACAGAGAGAAAGAAAGAGTAAAGAAGGATGGCTAAACATAGCACCATAATTTTGCTATAGCCAGAGGATGAGCTCTCAGTAGGCCTGGAATCTGAAGAGAATTGGACCTCAAGGCCTGAGTGAGACTCCCTTCCAGAGAAACTTGCTTTCAACTTTCTTAAAGACCCTGGAGAACTTTCTTCTTTGCTAGCTAGTCCTCAAGTTCTTTAGGTTTCTAGCTTTTCTCCTATCCCACTTAAAGGGAAAATGAATTTTAGGAGACTTTTACTTTCAAGGCAGGAGAAACCTGATGCACTATGTAGTGGTAACTAATGATCAAAAAGTGATAGGTTTGCTCCTGTGTGAGTACTGCATATACCAAGGAGAATGTTTCTTAGAAACATTCATGAAATGTTTCTTAGACCAGAGACAAAACTGAGATTCTAAAGGCAATGTTCACAAGGAAGATTGTAGTTCCAGGCCAACCCAGGCAAAAAGTCTGCAAAATTCTATCTCCACATAAGAAAGATGGGCATGGTAGTATGATCTAAGCATGTACCTAGGAAGGAAACAAGACCCAGTCTCAAAAGTAACCACCGCAAGCCGGACACCAGTGGCTCCTGCCTGTAATCCTAGCTACTTAGGAGGCTGAGCTCTAAGGATGGTGATTCAAAGCCAGCCTGGGCAGGAAAGGCCGTGAAACTCTTATCTCCAATAAACCACCAGAAAACCAGAAGTAGCGCTGTGGCTCTAGTGGTAGAGTGCTAACCTTGAGCTGAAGAGCTAAGGGACAGCGCTCAGGCCCAGAGTTTAAGTCTCATGACCGGAAAAAAAAAAAGTAACCACAGCAAAAAAGGGGCTGGAGGCATGGCTCAGTGTCCTAGCAAGCACAAGGCCTAGTTCAAACTCCAGTAACACCAAAAACAAAGACAAAAAGAAACTGTTGATCCACTAGGTTGAATCTAAACAATGAACTTGAGTCACCAATCACAAAAAGCTTACCATTATTGGACACAAGTTCACCCACTAGGAGGCTTTCTGCTGGTACTATGGCTTTCTAAGGGATAGTTGCTCTGTTTTCTCTTTCTAGACACCAGTCACCTGCTATCTTGTTATTATTCCTGGTCCAGGTTTCTGTAAATTCTCATATTTGTTGCATTCTTTCTTCTACCATCTTACAAGATTAATTTTCTTCCTTCATTTTATACTATTTAGAGGGCTTACCATGTAACAAGCACTCCATCAAGTAAATGACTCAAAGCAAACTCCAGCCCTGGGATGCAATAATGAGAAAGCCCATGCAAATTTTCTAAGCCTTTATGCTTTCACATACAACAGTATATTTGGTGGCCTTTCTTGATTTTGATCTTTATATTCCAGCCAAGGGTGTAAATAAGGAGAGAAGTTACTATCTCCATTTTTTCTCATCTCCCCAATTAGCTCCAACCTCAAAATGGAAAGAACAAATAATCAAAGGGATAAAATAAAAACAACTTGTATAGAGATATGGTTAGTCAGAAGGTCCCTTCTTGCCTTTTCTTTCTGCAATTCACATCAGATGTTAATTATTTTGTCAGTTATTGTGCCAAAATCTCAGATGCCAAAAAGAGAAAAAGAAAGTTGTTTGTGACCTTTCCCTTCCCAAGAGCAAAAAACATAATGCTGAAAGAAGTAGCTCTATCCATTTTTCTGCACAGAACTCTGGCAAAAAAATAATAAATCTAAGATAGAAGCCAACCATTCAATATCCCCTGTAGTCTATCAGTCTCTTCTCTTTTTTCTCTCTATGTACATATATACATATACATGTATGTGTATGTGATATTTATCTACAACATAAATGTGTATGTGCACACATACACACAGACATCAACAGTGTCTCTATATAACCCAGGTTGACCTCGAACTCACTATGTAGCCCAGGGTGGCCTGAACTTGAGGCTCAGCCTCAGCCTCTAGAATGCTAAGATTAGAGGCATATACAGCTACAACCAGCTTGAAGTGTTTTCCTTTAAGAGATATTTTCTTGTCCTCTCTCTCTCTATATATATATATAGAGTGTGTGTGTGTGTGTGTGTGTGTGTGTGTGTGTGTGTGTGTGTGTGTGTGTGTGTGTGTGTGTGTGTGTGTGTGTGTGTGTGTGTGTGTGTGTGTGTGTGTGTGTGTGTGTGTGTGTGTGTGTGTGTGTGTGTGTGTGTGTGTGTGTCCTGGGGCTTGAACTCAGGATCTAGGTGCAGTCTCTGAGCTTTTATGCTCAAAGTTAGCACTCTACCCCTTGGAGGCACAGCTCCACTTCTGGCTTTTTGACAGTTAAGTGGAAGTAAGAGTCTCATGGACTTTCCTGCCTGGACTGGCTTTGAATTGCAGTCCTCAGATCTCAACCTCCTGAATGAGTAACTAGGATTACTGGCATAAGCCAACAGTGCCCACCCTAAATTTTCTGGCATGTCTATCTCCTTTATTCCAAATAACATTTAACCTATTTTGCTTCATGGTCAGAGCAAGATGCTTATTGAAGCAGCTTTGCTGACCTCTATAAACTAAAACAACTTTTTTACATCTTATTTCATTTTATTATTAATTAATTTGTAAGCATCTACTATCATAGAAGTAACATAAGCATTATGTCCTCAGTAATGGTAAAGTAGTTAGTATTATCCTCATTCTTTTTTTTTTAATTGTGAAAATACCGTACAGAGGGGTTACAATTACATGGTAATGTAATGAGTACATTTCTTATCAAGCATTGTTGCCTCCTCCTTTGTTTCCCCTTCCCATCCCTTCCCAACTTCCCCACCCCACCCCATCCCTGCCACCCCCCCCGCAAGTTGTAAAGTTCATTTTTTGACATAACATCTTGTACATCTCATTGTTGCAATGGATCCACCTGTATCCCTATTTAAACAATTTGTTTTTTCCCTTCCCCTCCACAAAATATACCAACATCGAATACAGTAAAAACAGGGGTTATACCATGGGGGAGGGACATACAAAAGCAACAAAGAAATCATCTTATGAATATGTTAGAAACAACCGCATGACAGAAAAAAGCATTTGAATCCTTATCTTGGGGTTCATTTTGCCTAACATCAACTTGACTGACCGTTTCTGCTTGTCTCAGACATATACTAGTTATTGCAAATAAGGGAAACCATGGGACTTATGTTTCTTTGGGCCTGGCTTATTTCACTCAATATAATTTGTTCCAAGTCTTTCCATTTCCTACAAATGGGGCAATGTCATTCTTTCTGATGGAGGCATAGACTTCCATTGTGTATATATACCATATTTTCTTGATCCATTCATCTACTGAGGGGCATCTGGGTTGGTTCCATATCTTAGCTATGGTAAATAATGCTGCAATAAACAGTTGTGCTGATAGCTTTAGTATGGTCTTGTGATCATTTGGGTAAATGCCCAAAAGTGGGATTGCTGGGTCATAGGGGAGCTCTATGTGGAGTCTTTTGAGAAACCTCCATATTACTTTCCAAAGTGGTTGAACAAGTTTACACTCCCACCAACAATGCAGTAAGGTTCCCTTCTGTCCACATCCCCTCCAGCATCTGTTGTTATTAGAGTTCTTGATTATAGCCATTCTAACGGGTGAGGTGGTATCTCAGTGTTGTTTTTATTTGCATTTCTTTTATGGCTAGGGAGGTTGAGCAGTTCTTTATGTGTCTATTTGCCATCTTTCTTTCCTCTTCAGAGAAGTTTCTCTGTAAGTCTTTAGCCCACTTATTTATTGGGCAGTTGTTTCTTTGAGGATTTGCTGTTGGGGGATTTACTTTTTTAAGTTCCAGGTATATTTTATATATGAGTCCCTTGTCTGTTGTATGGCTAGTGAAGATCTTCTCCCAATCCGTGGGCTTTCTGTTGATCTTGCTAGCTATGTCTTTTGCCATGCAGAAGCTCTGCAGTGTCATACAATCCCATTCATCCAACCTTTCTTTGATTTGTTGTGTTTCTGGGTCTCTTTTAAGAAAATTTAGGCCTGTGCCAAGGAGACCTAGGGTTTCTCCTATTCCATCCTGTAATGTTTTCAGAGTGTCTGCTTTGACTCCAAGGTCCTTGATCAAGTTGGAGTTAATTCTGGTGCAGGGTGATATATAAGGATCTAGCTTTAGTTTTCTACAAGTGATTAACCAATTTTGCCAGCACCATTTACTGAAGAGGCTGTCTTTCTTCCATTCTGTTTTTTAGCTCCCTTATCGAAGATTAGATGGCTATAGGTCTGTAGATTCATTTCTGGGTTTTCAATTCTATTCCATTGGTCCTGAGGTCTGTTCTTGTGCCAGTACCAAGCTGTTTTGATTACTATGGCTTTGTAGTAGAGTTTGAAATTTGGTATTGATATTCCTCCAGCACTGTTCTTTCTGTTAAGGATTGTTTTTGCTATTCAGGATCTTTTATTGTTCCATATGAATTTTTGGATTGCCTCTTCTATTTCCTTGATGAATGAGCTTAGCATATTGATAGGTTTCACATAGAATTTGTAGATAGCCTTGGGAAGTATTGCCATTTTCACGATGTTGATCCTTCCAAACCAGGAGCATGGGAGGTTTTTCTACTTTCTAAGTTCTCTTTTGATTTCCTTTTTCAGGTTTTTAAAGTTTTCATAGAAGTACTGCACTTCTTTGGTTAATTCCTAGGTATTTTATTTTTTGTGGGGCTATTACAAATGGAGTTGCTTTCCTGATTTCAGCCACGCTTTTCTCATTGTTGGCATACAGAAAAGCCATTGATTTTTGAGGGTTAATTTTATACCCTGCTACTTTGCCAAAGTTTTGAATCAGCTTGAGTAATTTGGGAGTGGTTCCGTCGGATTCTTTAAATACAAAGGTCATGTCATCTGCAAAGAGGGAGAGTTTCACTTCATCTTTCCCTATTTGGATCCCTTTTATGTTTGCATCTTGTCTTATTGCTGTAGCTAGGCATTCTAATACTAAATTGAAGAGAAGTGGAGAGAGTGGACATTCTTTAAAACAACTTTTTTTTTTTTCCGACAGTCATGGGCTTGAACTCTGGGCCTGGGTGCTGTCCCTGAGCTCTTTTTCTGCTCAAGGCGAGTGCTCTACCACTTTGAGCCACAGTGCCACTTCCAGTTTTCCAGTCTTACCGACTTTTCTGCCCAGGCTAGTTTTAAACTGATCCTCGGATCTCAGCCTCCTTCAGAACTAGGATTGCAGGCATGAGCCATCAGCACCTGGTTTAAAGGGCTTTTGTTTGTTGCTGTTTGGGGGTTTTTTAACTTTTTTTTTTTTTTGGTACTGGAGATCAAACTGAGAATTTTGTACTTGCTAAGTACATCCTAGCCTTTCTTTTCTACCAAGTACCTTTGGAAAGTCTGCTAAATACATCTATTACTGTAATCACCAATAACAGTAGCCCCTTCTAATGTGAAACTATCATCAACACTTGTTTCCCTAAGTTCTGCTGGCTATTTTAGCTCTAAATGACTTATCATTTATCACTTCCAAGTGAAACCACTGGAATACTGCTTGATCCGAAACCACTCAATGTGGAAAGACTAAAAGAATCAGCTTCTGAAGGGTGGAACTGTTTGCATTCTTCTTTGTTATTTTTCTAGGGTTTCCATCTTAATATTTTATATAGAGTAAGCTCTTGATAGATGTTTATAAAATTAAACTCAAGATAAATGAGCAGGTTCACAATCACAATAAAGGAAAAAGAAAGCTCATCTCTTAGTGATTGATTACCTTTTATTCCTTCCCATCACCACCTACCCTCCTTGTCTCTGCCTACTTGAGGTATTCGTCCTGAAACAGGCATAAAGGGGGAAAAATAAAGCTCTAAAAATAATGCATATGAACAATTTTTTAAATAAAGCTCTAAAAATACTACATAAGAACAAGTCCTGAAACTTTGTATCTATTTCTCCAAAACTATGTAATCTCTGTTTCTTGAATATTTATTGGTAATTATTATTTGTGCACCAAGGGATTTTCATCTCTTATTTTTTTAAACCATAGCAGATTTTTGGATTTCTAAATTAACATCATTTACAAAGAAAGTCACTATTTGTATGTGACACTGCTCATTTTCTAAGGGGGACACAGCACTTCTGGTTCTAGAATTCACTTTCAGTATACCCTGCATGTCACCAATGGCACGTAGGTCAACAGGGAACCATATCTCCATCAGCTGAAGTTTCTCTTTCAGGTCTGTTAGTTTCACCCAAAAACATTCTTACCTTCAAAACACCTTAAAATCTCAAGGACTAAGAAGAGTGCTGACTCGGCATCTATGCCTACCATATAGTGTTTTTAAATGCTTGCTGAATGGAAATTTACAGCACCAGGGTATGGATGACTCAAGAATGAATCAGTTTTGTATACTGATAAGGCTAACAGGACGAGTCTCAAAGGCCAGTCATATGTATTTTCTAGTCACTGGTGAAACCACCAACTTGTATGTTAACTCAATTGCCCTCCCCCAAGTAGTTTCCTCATCTGTCTCATTCCCACTTCTACATTACATAGCTCCAGAGCTACCTTAACTAAGACTTGGCCCTGAGCATGCTTTTCTGTATCCTGTGAATTTGCCTCTCACAGATAGCTTAATGCATCTTTATCTCTTCTAGATACAGATAACTCTAGAACACTCTCCTTCTATCCATCTTCAGCCATTCTCTTCCATCAAGGCTTCATCATGTCTTGTCTGGATATCATAAAATCCTGCTAACAAACTGCATTACCCCATCCCTATCTTATGACTTACAATCTATCTTTTACTATGCTATCAAAGTGACCATTCTAAAGTATCAGTCTGATCATATGATTTGGCTGCTGAAAATCTATCAAGATATACTCTTACTAGCCAAGGGGTAAAAAGGCCTCCCTACCTTGCCAGGAGATGACTTTATCTCCTGTCATCCACCACAGTTGCTTATTCAAAGTTCCAGGATCAACCCACTTGGCTGACATTTCTTCTTTTTGTTTTTTTTTTTTTTTGGGGGGGGGGGGTCCAGTCGTGGGCCTGAACTCTGGGCCTGGGCGCTGTCCCTCAGCTCTTCAGCTCAAGGTTAGCGCCACAGCACCACTTCCGGCTTTTTTCCTTTTGCTTATGTGGTGCTGAGTAATCGAACCCAGGGCCTCAGGCATGCAAGGCAAGCGCTCTACCACGGAGCCACCTTCCCAGCCCTTGGCTGACATTTCTCCTGCCTCCATGCCTTTGGCTGTTTCCTCTACCTGTTGCCCCTACTCATCTTTCAAAACCAGCCTTAGACTAAATTCATTATCCCTACTACTCTACTAAGGATTCCCATATACTCTGTCTTTCAACATGATGGCAGTAATCACACTTAATTATAATTGCATTAATTGTATTATTTTCCTTTCTCCTTCCTTAATCTGCAGGAGTTATTAGGGGAGAGACCACATCTTTTTTGTTCATCACCATGCCACCAATACCTAAACACAAATCTGCCACAGTAGTAGGCACTCAATAAATATTTGAGTAACTGAGTACAACAATAATTCTATTAGTAATAATCATTAGTGCTAAAACTCATGAAGCACTTAGTGTGTGCCAGAATTGTTCCAAGTACTTTACATATGTCACCTAATAATTCACTTAAGAAGAAGAAGAAAAAGAATCTTATTAGTATTAGGACCATCTCCATTTTACATATGAAGAAACTATGACACAGAAATGTTTAATAACATGTCCAAGATTATACAGCCATTAAATGACAAGAGTCAGGACCTGATCCCAGAGCCAAGGTTCTTAACCATACCTCTACATTTCCTTGATTTTATATGCTTCATCTCGAATTTTCCTTTTCCCAACCTGAATTACATATTTCCTTTCTGTATCCTATGACACCTTCATCCATAACTTTTATCCACATGACTATCTGACTTAGTCTATCTACTTGCTAGATATGCACTCTACCCTTTGAGCTAACCTCCCAGTCCTCATTAGTGTCTATTTGTATTGTTCAATGAACTCCTTGGCAACAGAGACTTTGACTAAGCCTTATTATTCTTTATGCTATCCTTGCCACCTAGCACATAGTAATTACTCAATTAACTTTTATAGATGGATGGATGCATGCATGCATGGCCAAACGAATGGAGCATAACCATTCATTTTCAGATAGTCCAGCAGATGGCAGAAGAAGACAATAGCTAAATAGAGGTGGACTGTCTTACCTTTCACACTGGTCACTTTTGTCATGATGGCTTCCTCATCATGGAACAAGGTCACAGTGACCATGGCTCCAGGTATTCCATAGCCCCATATCACTGCCCCAGCAGGCTCTTTCTGCAGCACCATGTAACTATCGAAGTATGAAGCAAAGTGAAAACCAACACCTAAAAAATTTAGCAAACACATAGGGGAGTATCTTTAGGGAGATTCAACACCAACTGCATCTGGTAAAATAGCAAGGAAAACAGCTTCTATTTTTTTTAATTGAGTATACTCAGCCCTTTTAATCTTCTAAAACTTACTCCTCTTAATTAAGTAAGCAACATAACAAAACAGTTTCCAATAACAAGCATCATAGTACAATACAAGATGACAATTAAGGAAAACTCAAAAGCCTAGAGCCATCAGACTCCTTCCCACCTTTTCAGAGCTCTTGATCCTTGCTCGCATCCATAACATTTTTTCCCTTCTAATAATGAAAATACACCTTCTACACACCCCACAGATGGGTTTTTGTTTTGTTTTTTGGTCTTGGGGCTTGAACTCTGGACCTGGTCCCTCAGCTCTTCAGCTTAAGGCTAGCACTCTATCACTGAACCACCTTCCCAGCTCCCCACAGATGGCTTTTATGAGAAAAATAAACCCTTACTTCCTTGACTTTCCATTACCACGCCTACTCCAACTAGCTAGGAGGAAATAAAAAAGCATGCCTCTCTCCCTCCAACACAGCTTATCTAATATTTTCTCCTCTCAATCCTCTCTTTCCATTCTATCCATGTTAATTTCCTTTAAATAATCCCCCCTTTTGGGGATGACCCACTATGCCACATTTGTGAATATCTATAATATATATCCTTCCTTCTTAGGCACGTAGGGATAAATAAAAATACAAAACTAAGGTCAGTGAGAAAAAGAAGGTCAAAATGTCTGAGGAAGGATCTTCTGTCACAATTTTACCCTCTCACAAGCTCAATTATACAAAAAGAAAAGCAGCAGCACATTTGAAACTTCTAGAGATTCACTAACAAGACTGAATAAGAGCTTACTTTAACAAGATCATTCCTATTTTTAACTTCCAGTCTATATCAAAGTATTTTTAATAACAAGCATCAATCTACATGACCTCAATGAGCTCATCAAAATTTAACAAGGAAAATTACATGTCCCCATTTGTTTGAACAGACCCCCCCCAAAAAAAAAAATAAGAATTTTTTAATATAAAATTAAGGGTTTCTTTTTTAAAGATTTTTAAAGAAAAATTATTGGCAGGAAAGAGATTCGAAACTTAACAAGGCTGACATTTCCCTCCCTGAATGATAGAGATGATGGTGGGTTCCTTAGGCTATACTTAATAGGGCAGTACATCTAACGGGGTCTCCTCACAAGCTTGGTGGCCTACTTATGCTACTCTTCGAATAATAGCCAGATCTTGAAAAAGCTTTCACTTTCTTTCTCTCTGAGAAGCTACTTCAGTAATGCAACCCACATGACAATCAAAGATCACCAGAAGGCCTACGAGGCTGGAGATGCACAGCTACCATGAGCAAAGTACTCACTAAGACCATAACACCCTAGAATTGCATAAGCAGGTTGGCAGCCTGCAGGGAGAAGGAGGAGGCAACGTATGTGGGAGGACCCTGTCTTGGAAGGGGCTTCATATGGAAGCCGAAAACCGAAAATCAAAGGCATAAATAAGATCTAAGTAGAGAGAGGGTGGGAGTGGAAGAATGGAGTGAAGAAAACAGCTGCTGCCTGCATATTTGTGTGTGCAGCCAGTAGCCCATAGGCTGGGAAAATAAGCCTTTTCAAGCCAGTCTGTACTCATCAAATGCATTTTCTGGACCATTTTATGCATAGCTTTAATTCTGGGCTAAAGAATTTAAGAGATGGAAAGAAACTTTATAATGATGGCAAAGTCATATTACTGATCAAGATACTAAAACCCAAGTAGATCAAGCCATTTTCAAAAAATACATTGCAGAAAGCTGAGAGCTGTAAGCCTGTCTATTCAGGAGGGCTAAAGATATAGCTCAAACAGTAGAATGTGAGCAAAAAGGCTGAGCACACAGCGCCAGCGCTGAGTTCAAGCCCCAGTAAGCTTGTGCCCATGCACACACACGCACACACAGACAGACAGAGACACATATACACACACACACTGCATAGTCATTGATTGATTCAAGAAATAATCTTTTATTGATGTAGTGCCAAGTACTATTTAAATATCAAGGATATTAACAGTGAGGGAAAGAAAAAAAGCAAGAATAAATAACTGTAGATAAAAATTCTTGCTAGGGGCTGGAAGTATGGCTTAGTGGTAGAGTGCTTGCCTAGCATGCATGAAGCCCTGGGTTCAATTCCTCAGTACCACATACACAGAAAAAGCTGGAAGTGGCGCTGTGGCTCAAGTGGTAGAGTGCTAGCCTTGAGCAAAAGAAGCTCAGAGACAGTGCCCAGGCCTTGAGTTCAAGCCCAGGACTGGAAAAAAAAATCCTTGCTGGGCTGGGAGGGTGGGTCAGTGGTAGGGCGCTTGCCTTGCATGCCTGAGGCCCTGGGTTCGATTCCTCAGCACCACATAAGCAGAAAAAGCTCGAAGTGGCGCTGTGGCTCAAGTGGTAGAGCGCTAGCCTTGAGCTGAAGAGCTGAGAGGCAGCGCCCAGGACCAGAGTTCAGGCCCCATGACCGGACCCCCCCCCCAAAAAAAAAATCCTTGCTAGCAGGAAGCTTACTATGATAGTCCTAGTGCAAAAAGTACTGCAGACATTAGGCTTCTTCAACGTGCTTCAAGTCACAAAGTAGATTATGAGAGGATTACAAATAAAGTCATCTGATTCCACAGTTCTTGTAACTTTTGACTTTACAGCAGGTCAGTCCTGATGGTAAACCAAAAAAAAAAAAAATGCCCTGTCTTTATAAAGCTCAAATTTCAAGCTGATTAGACAGTAGAATATTACTAAGGAATTGAGCAATGGACAAAAAAAAAAGACAGTGAGACAAGTAAGTGCCTGTATCACACACGAGACACATTTAACATCTTAGTGTAAAAAATATATTATCTGTAAGTAATTAGGGTTCAATTCAACATGTCAATTTAACATTTTGAATTTTTTGAGATCTTTAATTTGTACCTTCATTTGGGAACTAGAGTAGAAAACAAGAATGAGTGATGGAAGAGACCTTCGTAACTAGGGACTAACTAAATTTTAGGACAGTGTTTCCCTGTGGCAGGCACCTGCCTGATGCACTGAGGTAGGAGTAGGTTGGTAGTCTCAATAAAACTCAAGATTCTAGTTCTCAGTCTGAGTGCTAAGCTTATGAGTTATTTCATTACTTTATTGTTACATGTAATTCAGTACATCTGAAATAAGATAAATATGAGCAAACATGGGGGTGATTTAAAGGAAAGACAGGGTATGTAACCTAGTAAGAAGAGAAATTTACTGCAAAAAATGAGTTAATGAAAAAGTTTAACGAAGGTAGTGATAAAATATTGATATTAAAGATAATGGCCTTTACCAGAAAAACTACTAAAATAGTGACTATTCCTGTGTGGTGTGAGTGTGTGTGTGTGCGCACGCACACGTGCGTGTATGTGTACTGGATCTTGAGCTCAGGACCTGGGCCTTGTCCCTGAGCTTTTTCTACTCTAGGATGGTGCTCTGACACTTGAGCCACACTTCCACATCATGGACTTTCCTGCCTAGTCTCCTTAGGAACCATGACCCTCAGATGATCCCAGCGTTCTGAATAGCCTTCTGATTACAGGCATGAGCCACCAGTGCTCACCCAACTTTCATTGCTTAACAAGGATCTTGTGGGGTCAACTCTTTGAGCGTATTGAATAAGAAGAATGGGGAAGAGGAAGTCTTACATTATTACTCAGCATGAACAGATTCTGTCTTCCGGTTTCTCCAGGCTGTGACCTAGAGCAGGTAGCCTAGGGCATTCAAATGGTGTGCTCTGACCTGGCACAGGAGCCACTCTGAGGCGGTCCCCTCCCCAAGGCCACGCAACATTATCCCACCACCAATGTCTGTTCAGCTGCAGCAGCAATCAAAGCTGAGCCTCCACTTATTCCGAGCTAATGAGGGGGCTGTATTCCTTCGCCCTAATAACCACTTAGACGAGTAAAACTTAATTCCCTCAAGGAACGGATCCCGATGCGCACGGGCACCGCTGAGGGGGCAGACGCTGAAATGTTTGGGATGACTCAGTCACCTGTTTCCAAATATTACCTAACTAGTTTCGCCCCCTTTCCCTGGGAGCTTCAGCTTCATACCCCGAAGGCCTCCGTCTGGGCACATTTAGCTTCCCACCCCCGACTCCCAACATCCCCACAAAGCTGCAAGTGAAGGACGGGGACGCGGGAGTGCAGGAAGAGGGGTGGGCCCAGCAAACACCTGCACTACAGGCCCGGGTCAAAGGCGACCGCTCCTGACCCCGGGTGGGGTCAGAGCTGCAAAGAGGACACGGCTCCACCGAAACGGCGGCGCGTGTGAGGGGCCGGGGTCCGGCCGAGCCAGGCCGCTCACCTGAATGTATGCCGACCCACAGCAGTAATGGCAGCACCAGCCCCAAAGCAAAGCCCGGGGCCAACATGCCGGCGGAAGACTTCGTCACCCACCCCGCCGTCCTCCAGCCAGCACCTCGGCGGGGGGCGGGACGGGGCGGGGCTAGGGCGGAGCCGGGGCGGGGCCCACAAGACAGGCCACACCCTCTCCAGGCCCTTCAGTCCTCGAAACCATCCGCCGCCGCCGCCAAGCCCGGCGGCGACTCTCTCCTTCTCGGCCGCCGTAGTTTGTGTTTTTTTTTTTTTTTAAACGGTTACCCAGCAACGAGAAAAAACAGGCGGAACCATCCCATCGGCACTACCTCAGAGAGAAAGGCGAGGTGAGGCGGTTTTTCCCCACCCCCAAACTTCCTCTCCCACCGCCGAGCCTCGCCTTTTCTGGCCGCTTCACCTGCTCTCGGCCTCCCCGACAGCCCTGGGCAGCCTGGAGCCGAGTGGGAACCCGGGCCGCTGGAGCCCCTCGGGTCCTGGACGTCCGGCCCACGGTTTGACTCATGTCCGCACCCCCTCCCGCCTCCCGCCCCCCAGCTCGGTTCAGGGTCTCCCCAGTGCTTTTCACAACCCGGGAATGAGTCAATGCCTCATCTCCCGTCTCTTCAAAGAAAAGATGGGGGGGGGGACCAGCCCCGCCACACAGATTAGGCCTCGTGGAAACAGCCCCCTCCTCCAACCCGGACCCCCCACCCGGCCTCCTCCTTTATTCCCGCATTGACGCGCTCACAAACAGGCCGCTCCCAGAAGAGGCTTTTTACCCAGGAGCCCAGCCCGCTTGTATTCCACCGTGGAAGGAGGAAGCCTGGCAAAGCAAAAACCCGAAAAATACTAACAATCCTCCAATCCTCTAAGGACTTTTTAAAACCATCACACCCATCCCCTCCTCTACCCCCTTCCAGAGTTCAGAGGTACTTTTAGAGCCATTACAGGTCGTGTTTCCAAAGTGGCAGTTGAAGACAGGGTGAAACTTCAACGAGTCAGACTGATTTCGAGAACTGAGGACTCGTTTTTCATTGTCGTTGGACCTTTAACAGAGCCTTAGCGATTGGCAATGAATTCAGTTAAGCTAGCTTTTCAAAAGTTCTGCCTAAATCGTCATGGGATAAACTACCTCACCTTTTAAGAACAGTAAGACAGAAGGACAGAAAGAAAAAGTACTTAGGGTCATAGTGGAAAGTTTTGGTTTGTGAACTTTCTTTCATTGATTTGACCAATCGAATTTGTAATCTAATTCATGATGGATAATTCAAATTTCACTGGAAGAAGTGAGTGCACTGGAGTGGTGTGAATGAAAAAAAAAAGTTGAAGCCCAGAAGGTTGGGGTATGCCAAATAAATTGACATAATTGTGATTATATTAAAATCAATTATAAAGTCAGTACTTTTTGATGACTCTAGGTACCATAAGCAATTCTTCCTAAGGAGATGTCGATTCCATTCTCCAACACCCACTACCGAATTCCACAAGGATTTGGGAATCTTCTTGAAGGGCTGACCCGAGAGATTCTGAGGGAGCAACCTGAAAATATACCAGCTTTTGCAGCAGCATATTTTGAGAACCTTCTAGAGAAAAGAGAGAGTAAGCTTTAAAAAAAAAAAAAAGAAATAGCCATTGTCTAAGAGTATTTGATTATGATAATAAAATTGACCGACCATCTTCATTTTACAGAAAGTCTTTATTAAGCAGGTAGCTTGCTATGTGAAATGATGTGTGCTTTTTGGATGCCTTCAAGTAGTTTTACATTATTTGAGATTGCCAGTTAATTCCTCAGACTTCTTCATGGATACAGAATGGAACTTCAAAAGATGGTACAGTATAAACTTTCACTTCCCAACAGCTTGTTCTAATCATCCCCAATAGTTGATAGTCTGTTCTTCCTCAGAAGATAATTTTCAGCTTTCTATAAATTTTGATTCTTCTGATTTGAAAGTATTATAAGTGTTATAAAAATAATTCACTCCTTAGATTAAATAAATTAGAATTCACTAGAGTATATGAAACTTGTTCTTCAATAAAGACAAACTGCTTTGAAAAATGAACTGCCAAACTTGGAGGAGGTAATTTGTATTCTTTATACTCTCAAAAATCCCAGCCTCTACAAAAATTTAAAATACATGCTAATAGTAACTCTGATTGAAAGTTAAAGTTCCTTTATTTCCTTAAAATCTCTTATCAAATCAGACCTCCTCAAGTGGTCAAAAGAAGATTATTACTGGGCACCCGTGGCTCATGCCTGTAATCCTAGCTACTCAGGAGGCTGAGATCTAAGGATCACAATTCAAAGCCAGCCCTGGCAGGAAAGTCCATAAGACTTTTATTTCCAATAAACTACCAGAAACCGGAAGTGGCACTGTGCCTCAGGTGGTAGAGCCTAGAGCTGAAGAGCTAAGGAACAGCATATAGGTCCAGTGTTCAAGCCCCACGACTGACCAAAAAAAAAGGATTATTAGAGCTATAAATTTATATTAAAACCTACTCTTGGGTTAGGAATATAGCTCAGCGGTAAAACATAAATTAAGCATATGCAAGGCCTAGGTTCAATTCCCCAGTGCCTCAAAATAAATAACCTCCTCTTGAAAGAACAACCATTATGTATAAAATATTATTATTGATTATAGAATGTCAGTAGAGGGGTAAATGTGAATAGGAGGAGCAAAAAGCAAACAGACTTTACATTGTAAATCACTTTACAGAGGGAAGATCTAGCAAAGGGCTTGAATTTAAAAACAGCTCTCATAGCACACAGGTACCGCTCCACCCATTGCCTTTGCTCTGCCCTACAGAACTCAGTTCCTACCCATTTCCTGTTGCTGGTCTTTTCCATATCCAGTCAGGGTGAATATAGATGCACAATCTGAAGCTTTTCTACTGAAAACAGTTGGTAAATTATATTTAAGGGAAGAGAAATCCTTTGGGAAAAGAGATGAACTACCATGAGCATTAATTTTGTTATTATAACATTAATTTTACAAGTTCATGCAGTAAAAAAATTTTAGTCATTTGTTTAATTTTAGAACTCAGGAACATACTATTACAAAAACATTTGAGTCATTGTTACCGGATCACAGTAATAAAAGCAATTGATGATTCAGATTAATGGTCTCAGGATACTAGCTCTTCACTGATAAAAAAGGGGTAAACCATCTGAAACAGTTTTAAACACCACATCCACTTCTACTCATGTCAACCAAAGGTGAATTATCAAACTAATAGAAACATCAAATTTTAGTCTCTCCAAAAAGGCAAAAGCAATCATTACAGACTAATAGCCTAGCCTCCCACACAATGTAATAACTCACTTCCCATCATTCTTCATAAGTAATTTTATTTTATATGGTGCTAAAGATCAAACCAGGACCTTGTACATGGTAGCTCCACCTATGAGCCCATTCTATAAGTTATTATTGGCCTTAAGTTTTGGGAACAGGAGATATGTTAGTATATAATATAAATGGTATCTCAAAGTGCTAGGGGAAAAGTGGATTTCGTATAAAATACTGAGATAAAGATGAGGAAACAAAACAATTCTATATGTTACACACCCTCTCCCTTTCACCCTCTCCATCTCCCTTTCTTTCTCTCCTTTCTCTCCCTCTCCTTCTCCCTTTTCCTTTCTCACACTTGGAAATGAAGCAAATGTCTCCCTCCACATACGCTCCTACCATATTGTACTCTGAAACTACAGACCCCAAAACCAGGGCCAATTGGTCTTGGACTAAAACCTCCAAAACTATGAGCTAAATAAGGATTTCTCTTTTTAACTTGATTCCTCAAATATATGGTTTAGTAATAGTGGATTAACCTGAGGTTTATTCCAGAATTGTTTTTATGTATTATGGACAAAAACAAGTAACTACCTGTGTTAGCAGGAATAAGATTTTTAGTTTAAGGAAAAATAGCATACAGTTATAAAAATGGAAGAGGTTAATAAAATCCTATAAGCCTAAATTGGAATTGAAAAATGTCTGTGCAACCTCTTGATATGTTTTCTCTTAAAAGAAAATACATTTCAGGACTGGGGATGTAGCTCAGTGGTAGACTGTTTGCCTAACATATATAAGGCCCTTTGGGTTTGCGCTCCAGAACTGGAAAAAAAAAAGATACCTTCAAAAACCTCAAAATTATAACTAACACAATATTGTTGAGCATCTCTGAATACCCAGAACCATGGGTCTAATCTGAATCAACAAAAAGACTTAGAAATAGGGTCTGGGAAGGTGGCTCAGTGGTAGAGTGCTTGCTTTGCATGTATGAGGCCCTGGGTTCCATTCCTCAGCATCACATAAGCAGAATAAGCCAGAAGTGATGCTGAGGCTCAAGTGGTAGAACGCTGGCCTTGAGCTGAAGAGTTGAGGACAGCACCCAAGCCCAGACTTCAGGCCCCATGACCAAAAAAAAAAAAAAAAAAAGACTAAGAAATAGACAATGGAAGAAATTGGAGAGTTGACAGAACAGTATTAAGGAATTATATTTTTAGGTATAATTATGGTGTCATGCTTACATTTAAAGAGTCCATATTTTAGAGGTACATACTGAAAGATATATTTGTAGATAAAATAACAGGATTCCTGAAAGGCTAGCCTGAAAATAATCAGAAATGGTGGGAAAGTAATCTGAAGAGTTGCTAATTATATAATCTAAATAATATGCATAAGTTTATTTTACTATTTCTACTTTAGGTTAGAAATTTCTTTTTTATTAGCATATGTTATACAAAGGGATTTCAGTATGCTATTTCCATGCATTTCATGCTTGAAATTTGTCATAAATGAAAAGTTACAGAAAAATTCTGCTTAAATGTAAATACTTCTTCCTGCCAACTGTCTATTTAATGTGCCTCCTTCCCAAAACTCCTGACTATTTAACATTGACTTTATACACTTTCCTGTGTTTGCTAGTATATGTATGAAAGTGTCAATGTTTATTTTTCAGTATTGACATTTGTTCTTTCTCACATTTTGTTATGAATTTTATAAAGGCAAAATACATTTCTAGTGCTTTTATAATATCACTAATGATTCCTGCTTTTGTCTGCTCTGTATAATTGACAGTCAGATTTTCAACTGTCAGTTAAGAACCCATGATTTGAAAAGAGGAACTTTTTTGTGTTATTCTTATAGATTGATTTTAGTGAACTCTAAGTCTGAAATTATTATATTTTTATTATCTAGAAACCAACTTTGATCCAGCAGAATGGGGGGCTAAGTTAGACGACCGCTTCTATAACAACCATGCATTCAAGGTATAGTCCTGTGAAGCTAGTGAATTTAGCTTTTTATTTTCCTGTGTACCAGAGATTACTAGGATCTGTCTAGAATTGTGAGGAATGCATGAGGCATTAACAATAACTTATTAAAACTTTTTTATTGTGCTTTTTCCAATGAGAAATTACTTTCCCAAGTATCTGAATTGAGTACCGATATTTTGCTTAAATTTAACTGATTAACAAGATACTTAAAAGTTATAGAACAATTACTGCATCTTTTATTCACATTTTTAGCACCACAATGTTTAGCAAGAACAAGTTCTAAACAACTTCTGAGTTAATGAATGATATATCATCAAACACTTAGTCCAATTATTTGATCATGTGCTACAGAAGACAAATTAGAATGAAAGATTTATATAATCTTCTCTATAAAACTAATCTGTTCAGAAAAGACAGAACTTATTTTTCTCATTTAGGAGTATTTTCAAAGAAAGCAAGATTCCTCAAAAAAATTCAAACCTTAAATTGAAGGTACCTGTTATTACATGTGTGAGACGTCAGTGTCTTTCCTTAGTAGCCATACAGACCTTAGGAGAGTTGAGAAAGTTCAAGACATTCTCTCTATGTTCTGTTGTTCAGATGAGAAAGACTGATTAAGCACAGTTATGTAGGACCAGCATCATTGGTATCAACTGGGAACTTGATGGAAATTAAAGTCTCAGGCTCCACTCTAGGTCTACAAATTAGAAGTTATGTTTTGATCAGATCCACAAAGTAATTTATAGGTATATTAAAATTGGATTTCATGGGCTGGGAAGGTGGCTCAGTGGTAGAGCACTTGCCTTGCATACATGAGGCCCTGGGTTCAATTCCTTAGCACCACATAAGCAGAAAAAGCCAGAAGTGGTGATGTGGCTCAAGTGGTAGAGCTCTAGCCTTGAGTTGAAGAACTGAGGGGCAGCTCTCAGGCCCAGAGTTCAGGCTCCATGACTGACAAAAAAGAAAAATTGAGATCATTAGCCAGGCTTGTTGATGTTCCTCTGTAGTCCCAGCTACTCAAGAAGCTGAGGCAGGAGAGTTGAGCTCAGAGATTGAGGTCCAGAGCAACATAGTGAGACCCATCTAAAAATAATAATAATAACAATAGTAATAATTGTATAACACTATTGACATTTTGGTTGTATTAAATTATTTATTTTTAGACAACTGAAACAATTCTGTTATTAATAACACACCAACAGATAGTAGAATTAAGAGAAATGAACTCAAAATTCAGGTTTTGATGTTCTCCCGTACATTTGGAGAATATCCTGTAGAAGTAGCTGGCACTTAGTTCATGAGTTCAAAAGTGAAGTTGCAACCATTTATGCCTGTGTATATGGAAGTATTTTATTTCTATTTTAACTAATTTCTGTATTAATGTTTTATATATATTCATGTTTTATGGAAATCAAGAGGATAATGTTGAAAAGTTCTATGTCCCTGTGTCACACAGCAATTTCAGAGTCTCTTTTTCTTTTCAATTCTAAAATCTTTTTCAATTTACTTTTATGTCCTTAAATTTCCATTCTGTGAGTTTTAGAAGCTCTTCTTCTAAAAATGGTGAATTAGCATTGCCTCTATTTTAGAGGAAGATTTGAATAGCCATGTCAAAATTGACCAAGCTGCCAGGTGCCAGTGTCTCATGGCTAATCCATTAATTGGGAGGCTTAAAATAGGAAAACCACACTGGGTGCTGGTGGCTCACACCTGTAATTCTAGCTACACAGGAGAGTAAGATCTGCATGATAGCTGTTCAAAGCCAGCCAGGGCAGGAAAGTCTGTAAAACGCTTCTCTCCAATTAACAACTCAGAAAAAGCCAGAAGTAGAGCTGGGCTCATGTGGTAGAGCATTAGCTTTGAAAAAAAGAATCTCAGGGCCAGCACCCAGGCCCTGAGTACAAACCGCAGGACTGGTGTCTAAATAAATAATAATAAAGAAGAGAATCACAAGCTGAGGCCAGCCAAGGCAGAAAAAAGTTGACAAGATCCTTCTCAACCCATAGCTAGACACAGTGGTGCACACCTGTTATCCCAGCAACTATATGGAGCCAAAAATAAGCAAATCCCAGGCCAAACGCATACCCAGGCAAGAAGCAAGATCCTTTAAAATAACTAGCAAGACATGGTACTAGATGTGTGGCTCAATGGTAGAGCCCCCTGCCTAACAAGTCTGAGCCAGAGTTCAAACCTCAGTACTGCTACACACACACACACACACAAAAAATTGACAGTTTATTTCTCTCTTTATACTTAAATCATTCCCTATAGCAAAACTGACTTCCTTGACTTAGTCTTTAATTAATGTATGCTAATTGTACAAAATGAATTTCATTGTGACATTTTCATACATGAATATATATAATGTATTTTGAACCTATCCACCCACCCCACCCCCATTTGCTTCTCTTACCTCCTTCCCCGATCTCCTTCCTTTTCCCTAATATTGACTTGGTTTCTAATCCATAAATTTAATCCATAATTTTAATCCATAAATTTCATTGGCCTCATATTGCAAAACACAATGGCATTTATTCCTGTTTTAAAAACCATTGACATCTCATTTTCATACTCTTTGCAGAATTTATTAGTTCATCTTACCAACTTTTACTGTGACACATTAGGCTTGCTAATTCATAGTAGTCGTTTGTTTTTAGTGCAATAGCAGAAGAGAGAATGTTGACTTCCGATATTTGTTTATAGTTTGAGTCCCTTGAGTTTCCTTCATTTATTTCCTTTTGTTCCAACATATTTTCTTTGTTAAAAGACATATATTTAATTTAATATATAGTAATTTAATAGAATTTATATATTTTATATATTTAATTTAATATAGGGGAATTGTATATATAATTAAATAAAATTAATATAATTCCCCCTTCTTCTCCATCAGTTATTTTCCATTTACCCAAAGAAGTTTGATCTGGAACAAAACATTATCTACTGAAAAACATTTATCTGTTTGGCCTGTCCTCTTTTACTAGGACCAAGAACAACCTGTGAAATGTGACCTTGTCCAGGAAATGTCCTCAACATCCGAGAAAAAGGAAGATGAAAGGGCTACCGCCTTAGTATGTAATTTTTTCTATATATTTTTTGTATTCCTACAAAGAATATCATTACTCAGTTTAAAATTGTACTCCAAATATGAATCAACCTATTATCTATATTTTTATTTATTTATTTATTTTTGGTCGATCGAGGGGCCTGAACTCTGGGCCTGGGCACTGTCCCTCAGCTCTTCAGCTCAAGGCTAGTGCTCTACCACTTGAGCCACAGCGCCACTTCTGGTTTTTTCTGCTTATGTGGTGCTGAGGAATCAAACCCAGGGTTTCATGTATGCAAGGCAAGCACTCTACCACTGAGCCACCTTCAGCCCATATTTTTAAAGTTGCAATTTTGCTTTCTTTATAGTTAATATCAGTGATAAACATAGATCACTTTCAACCATACCTCTTATAAAGAAAAATTCATTCTTCCATTAAAAATAAAATCTTATTTTTCAAGATTGTCAATGGACAGAAAAATCTTCCCATTAGGAAATGCAGACAGAACAACTTGTAGTCTTATATTTCAGATTCACCTTCCACTTTGGGAATTTTTCACTAATGGTTGCTCATCAACACTACACAATAGAAAGGTTCAAAGAAAAGAAAAATAAAAGCTGAAAAGAATTATAAGTAGCCAACTAAAATGACATCATACAGTGTGGTTTACTTATACAAGTGGGCCCTCTACAAAAACACCCTCCTCCATTGTTAATCTACATCCTAGCCATCAAGATATGGGAAGTCGACATTGCTACCTATCTGTATTATAATGGCATTATAATTTAGTGTAGTGTGCAAACAGCAGCACTCAGGAGATAACTGTGCACATCTCTACCAATTCCATATTCAGTAATATTATTATATTTTTTTGTGACACTGAGATTTGATCTCAGGTCCCATGCTTGCTAGATAGGCACTCAACCATTTGACTCATACCCCCAGGCCTCTTTTTTTTTTTTTTGCTTTAGTTTATGGATTGAATCTTAGATTTTTGGCTGGGGATTTTTTTTTTTTTTTAGATTTTTGCCTCAAACTTCTATCCTCTCAGTCTCCATTTACCAAGTAGCTGAGGCACTATTTTAATAGATTGAAGTCAGCCATTGTGAGAATATTAAAACAATGTGAACACTACACATCAGAACCTGTTTCTTTCTAGAGGACCAGTTGTTAAATATTTACCAACGCCACTGCCAATGTTCTTCATAGTTCAGACTCAGAGAACCAGGTCTGATGAGAAAGTATCAAAAGCCAGGTTTTACCTGGCGCCGGTGGCTCATGCCTGTAATCCTAGCTACTCGGGAGGCTGAGATCTGAGTATCACAATTCAAAGCCAGCCCTGGCAGGAAAGTCCATGAGATACTTTCTCCAATTAACCACCAGAAAACAGGAAGTAATGCTGTGGCTCAAGTGGTAGACCACTCACCTTGAGCTAAAGAGCTCAGGGACAATGCCCAGGCCCAAAGTTCAAGCCCTGTACCAACAACAACCACCAAAAAAAAAAGGGCCAGGTTTCTCAGTCCTTTTCATATCCTAATATTCCAATTAATTACCCAATAGTTGACACCTAAGATCGTCATATCCCTTGAAAAATACCTTACCTCACACCCATCAAAGCATAGATTTTTCCCTGTAATATGTGCAAGTTATCCCAAAATTTTATCAATCCAACCCAATAAGCCTGATACTAACATAATATATGAGAAGTCAGGGATAAGGAAAGGAAGTACCATTTTCTTATCTCTTTCATAGGTGCCCTTATACAAGTTTTTATGAGAGTTGAGGTTACAGTCTCATTGATTTCCAGTTTGAGAGTAACTTATTTGCCCATTTGATACATCATTTTTTATAACACACTTCTATAACACACTGTTTACACTTAAAGATTCAAGAACATAATTTCCCCTAATTTATTTGTAATGAGTGTGGGGGAGAAATTGAACAATCCATTGGGTCCGTTATAAAGAAACTAAGTGAATAAATCAAAGTACATCAGTACAGCTCAATATGATGATGTCTTTAAAATAATAAGACATTAAAATAATAACATAGAAAAGCAAATCAAGCCCCAGCATTGGTAGCTCATGCCTATAATCCTAACTATTCAGGAGGCTGAGATTTGAGGTCTGTGGTTCAAAGCCAGCCATGGTGGGAAAATCTATGAAACTCTTATCTCCAATGAACCACCAGAAAACTGCAAGTGGCACTCAAAGTGGTAGAGCACTAGCTTTGACCAAAAGACCAATTCATAAACAGTGCCCAGACCCCCACTTCAAGCCCTACAATCAACCAAGAGAGAGACAGAGGTGAGAGAGAGAGAGAGAGAGGAGAAGAGAGAGGGGGAGAGAGACAGAGACAGACAGAGAGAGAAAACAAAGATACAGCACTGGGAAGGTGGCTCAGTGGTAGAGTGCTTGCCTTGCATGCATGAGCTCTGGGTTTGATTCCTCAGCACCACATAAGGTTTAAATGTGACATTTTCACACACACACACACATATATAATGTATCCTGAATGTGAACTCATTTTTAAAATAAAAATGCATATATATTGTTTTATGAATGTATTTTGCATGTAGAGAAATTTTGGAAGGATATATATATATATATATATATATATATATATATATATATATATATATATATGCACATGCACATGCACACATAGATGCATCAAACACACTTAACCCATGATAATGGTTATCTCTTAGGAACAGGATTTGGGAAGGTGAAGAAAATCTTTAAACTTTTCATCACAAATTGTATTTGTTTTTTGTTGCATATTTATCATCTTTATAAAATATAAAAAGATATATTAAGTGTTGTGTGTGTGTATGTATGTGTGTTTTCAGTGTTAACCTCAGGATCCCTATGTTTTGCTGTCTGTAAATTATACCTTTTTAAAAGAATAAGATAGAGGAGGAAGAAAGATATGCCAAAAGTCAGTTAAATATGCCAAGGTCAGCCATGTTAAAATCTGACCTTACTGGGATAAACTAATTACTCTTTGTCACTCCACCCTTCAGTGTATGATTCTGGTTTTAGAAATCATTTAGAAACCAATAAGGGAACATTTTAACCCATCTTATATAATCATGATTATTTCAGAACAGCACATTTACTAATCTTTCAACATTTCTTACTGTGCTTCAAGTCTTGTTTTCCTCCTCAAAAATATTATTGCTCAGAAAACTGTTAAATAGGAATTTTTTGTACAAAAAAAAGAAGCTGATTTTTTTTATTGCAGAGACACATTAAACAGTACAAAACAAAATTTCTGTTGTTTGGCATTTGCTATTTGGTACATATACAAATATGTGAAATTCAGGAAGCAACAGATCTCAGTTACATCCCTAAGCTGATTAAATTTATTCATTTATTTTTGTGGCATAGAAAATATGAGCCGTTAAGTCTCTTTCTCTCCTTTTAATGAAGGCGTCTCCTGAGGAAGAAGAAGAAGAAAAAGAAAAAGAAGAGAATGCTGCTGTCAAAATCCAGTCAGTTTTCCGAGGACACAAGGCCAGAGAAGAGATGAAGAAAATGAAAGATAAACAGGAGAACGGAGAGGAGACCAAGTGAGGACTCTGGTCTTACCCTCAGAAAACATGAAAAAAAAAAAAAAACAATCCAAATTCATCAACCTTGTTGTGATTGTCGTTTTTTAATTCAGTCAGGGAGATTTGATGTTGTAACATTTACTGGTGTTATGAAAACTCTGTCATTAGCATTTATTAAATAATAAACCTGCCATTGAAACGTAACACTTGAAGATTTCCCTGAGATCATGAGGATTTTTTATACTTGTCCTAAATTTATATATAGATACCTTTTGATAATAGAGCTCGAGTATGAGTTTTCATTGATCTCAAAAGATATGTGGTCATTTCTATCTCATCTCTGAAAAACTGATTCACTGGTTCACTTTTACTGATAAAAGATATTATTGGCCTCCGGGTGCTTATCACAGGCTGTGTTCTTACACTGATTGTATAGAAAGAGGAGGCAGAGTAAACCTACCCCATATACACCTCAGCCCAGGTCTGTGCCTAGTCTGTATTGTGAATGGGGAGACAAAGGAAAAAAAAAAGATTTTATTGCCTTTCAAGGATAATCTGCTTAATGTTTTTACTAGTAGTATGAATGGAACTCAGAGCCTTGAGCATGCTAGGCAAGTGCTCTACCATTGCTACCACCTATTTTTAAATACCATGAATTAGAAGAACAATAAGGTTTTTAAGAATCTGCTTTTCATTGGTTTTCATTGACACATATGCATTCACTTATTGAAAATATCTTGAGGACCCTTCATGTGCTAGGACTTAATAATGAATATTCTTTCTTTCATTATTGTCTGGCTTGCCAAAATCAGACAAAAAGACTAATAGCATAATTGAAAAATACAAAAGCAATCATTATAGTTTCTCCTTCATCCAAAACTCCCAAGTCTCTTTGATACCAGTTTCACAAACTATGAGACCTTTTATCTTATTTTTTTCTTTTTTTCTTTTTCTTTTTTTTTTTGGGGGGGGGGGGTCCGGTCGTGGGGCCCAAACTCTGGGCCTGGGCGCTGTCCCTCAGCTCTTCAGATCCAGGCTAGCACTCTACCACTTGAGGCACAGCGCCACTTCCGGCTTTTTTCTTTTTGCTTATGTGGTGCTGAGGAATCGAACCCAGGGCCTCAGGCATGCAAGGCAAGCGCTCTACCACTGAGCCACCTTCCCAGCCCCTTATCTATTTTTTTCAATGAATCATCAAAACTCCAAGGGACTTATTTTTAAGAAGCTCCTCTCTCTCTCTCTCCTCTCTCTGTCTCTGTCCCTCTTTCTGTCCCTCTCTGTCCCTTTCTCTCTTTCTTTCTTTCCTCCTCTCTGTCCCTTTTTGTTTCTCTCCCCCCCCCCCCTCTTCTTCTCTTCCTCTCCCTCCCACTCTCCCTCCCACCACCCTTTCCTGGTCCTGGAATATGAACTCAGGCCTGGGTGCTGTCCCAAAGCTTTTTTGCTCAAGATGGCACTCTGCCACTTGAGCTACAATTCCACTTAAGACTTTTTGGTAGTTAATTGGAGAAGAGTCTTACAGACTTTCCTACCTGGGCCCTAATCCTCAGCTCTCAGCCTCCTGAATAACTAGGATTACAAGCATGAGCCACTGGCACCCAGCACAGTCTCTCCCTACCTGTGATTATCCAAGATGCTCAGAATTCACAAAGGAAACATATGGATTCATTTCCCTTCTTGATAAAAAAGAAAACAGTTTTAACCACTTAACTAGCATTACTGTGTTCTGCTCCAGTGATAAAGCCTAGTTCTGAAGTCTGAGGTGATACCCTAGCTCATCCTGATTCCAGCTGTCCCTGTTTTGGTTCTAGGATTTACCTCTTTTTCAGTCACAATTATCCAGCCATTGATCCCCAAAGTCCAGTAACAAGCTGGAGCGGCTCAGTCCTGCAGAGCTCAGACCAGACCCATATTACTCCATGATGAGTGTTGTCCTCTAAACACTTAGATCCTTAGGCTCAGACAGGTGCTTTCTGACACCTCATTGCCCTTCCTAGAACTTACAGTTGTCAAGCTATTCAACAAAGATTCAAGTGATCCTTTCCACTCAAATCCAATGCTATATATGAAGGTTGCAGAAGCCATTCTGTAATCTCCCTCCAGCTCCAATACCGTTCCTCCTCTCACCATCTTAGTGCTACTGAAGACCGGCATGCTAGCTAAAATCCAAGTCCCTTATACACTATACCATTTCTTTTCATCCTCAACAATCCCCTTTCTAAGAAAGTTTCAGTAATTCTAACTTCTTCCTTTGTCCCTCCAAAGATGAATGGTAGCTTTTCCTGCAATCTCTATTGCTAACGGTGGTTCTAGCAATTTTAGTCACCCAATTTGGTGTGTGTACTAAGACTTGAACTCAGGGTCTAGGTCTGGTTCTTTTACTCAAGGCTAGCGCTCTACCACTTGAGCCACAGCTCCACTTCTGGGTTTTCGGTGGCTAATTGGAGATTCTCAGAGTTTTCTGGAGGGATTAGTTACAAACCACAGGTTCCTCAGATCTCATCATCCTGAGTAGCTAATACTATAGGCATGAGCCACCAGTACCCAGCCTGCCCAATTCTTTAAACTTTTATTTCAAGTATTACCATGATTTTTGTTACCAGAAAGTCAGCTGCAGCTCATCACCCTCAATCCTTGTCTCCACAAAGAGAAGAATTTAAGCAAGACAAGACTGTAGTGAATGTGATAGGAAAGTATTAGAAAGAAATATAGCACAGAAAGGAGGATACATAGCATGATGCCACCAGAAGACAACACTTCACCTTCAGTGTAAAGACATGAGTGTTAGTTTTAAATAGAGAAAGAATTAAGGGCACAGAGCAAAGGTGCCCTGCTAGAGTTGTGGCCTGACTGGTCATTATCTCATTTCTAGATTCCTGAGATGATTTCCCCAGCCTCGAGGGTGCAGCCTGATCATTATAGGCAATTATCTTCATTTGAGAGTGATCTGCTCAGCTCAGCTCTGTTATTCTTTAAGGGTAGTTTTAGACCTTTGTCATGAACAGGTTATTGATCAGACCTGCCTTTCCTAGAGCCCAAGGTGACTGCAAAGTGACTACAGAAAGAATGACTTAAGATAATGACAAACATAAAATGGACTTAGAGATGGCCAGACAAAAACAGCTGGAGTACCGAATACAAATACATTTTCAATAGACTGGAAGTGGGCTGTCTCCATGGTGAGAACAGCAGCCTTTGGGAGTCTGAGTACTTGATACTGAAAAATTCCTAACCCTAGATCCAGTTTACAGCCCAGTCACAGCTGAGGTCAGCTGTGAGGAAGTCCTCTTAGAGACTATGTGATCTCCTCCTGTATTTTTGGTTTACTTTACATTTCCTCATTGCTTGTAACTTCCACCTATCCATTTTTTTTTTTTTTTTTTTGGGTCCGGTCGTGGGGCCTGAACTGTGGGCCTGGGTGCTGTCCCTCAGCTCTTCAGCTCAAGGCTAGCGCTCTACCACTTGAGCCACAGTGCCACTTCCGGCTATTTTTTTCTTTTTACTTATATGGTGCTGAGGAATCGAACCCAGGGCCTCAGGCATGCAAGGCAAGCGCTCTACCACTGAGCCATCTTCCCAGCCCCCACCTATCCATTTCTGTGTCCTGATTAGACTGACTAATTCACCTAAGAATTGAAATTGTATTCTTTTGTTGTTAGTGGTGGTGGTGATCGCAGGGCTTGAACTCTCCGCCTGGGCACGGTCCCTCAGCACTTCAGCTCAAGGCAAGCGCTCTACCACTTGAGCCACAGCGCCACTTCTGGTTTTCTGGTGGCTAATTGTAGATAAGAGTCTCACAGAGGGCTGGGAAGGTGGCTCAGTGGTAGAGCGCTTGCCTTGCATGCATCAGGCCCTGGGTTCGATTCCTCAGCACCACATAAGCAAAAAGAAAAAAGCCGGAAGTGGTGCTGTGGCTCAAGTGGTAGAGCACTAGCCTTGAGCTGAAGAGCTGAGGGACAGCGCCCAGGCCCAGAGTTCAGGCCCCACGACCGGACCCAAAAAAAAAAAAAAAAAAGAGTCTCACAGACTTTCCTGTCCGGGCTGACTTTGAACCGCGATCCTCAGATCTCAGCCTCCTGAGTAGCTAGGATTACAGGCAGGAGCCATCAGTGCCTGGCTTTTCTTTTTTTTTCTAACAGTACTCCAGATTGAAGTTGGCTTGCTAGGCTTGCAAGGCAAACACTCTACCTCTAGAAACATGCCTCCAGCCCTTTTTTATATTAGTTACTTTCAAGGCAGACTCTCACTTTATTCTTAGGCCAGCCTGGGTTGCAGACTTCCTACTTATGTTTCTTCCATGTCAGTGGGAATTATAGGCAGGTGCCATTATGCTCAGCTACTGTGCTTTCCCTACAGCTGGAATAACAGGCATCTGACAATGGTGCTCAGTCACTGGGTGAGATGGAGTCTCCCAAACCTCTTTCTGCTTAAGCTAGTCTCAAACCAAAAACCTCTGATCTCCACTTCCCAAGTAGCTGGGATTACAGGTTGAAGCCACTATTACACCTGGAGAAATACCACTCTTTTTAGTTAGAAACTTCTATATTGACATGGAGAACTGCATCTAATTTTGTGTCCATCCAAAACACAAAACAACAAATGATTATTTCTCAAAAAAGAAACACCTAAACGTGGTTATGGCAACAAGAAATAAGACAATAACATTTCAGGAGCTGAAAACCAGGTTTATCTAGCAGAATAGGAAAAGCCAATTCCCAAACTCACAGTGAGGAAGGCTGACAATCAATCTAATTTGCACCCAAAATTCACAAAAGGCATTGGGTTAGCAAGTACTAGGTACTACCAGAACTAGAATTAAATGGGGGGGGGGAATCAAAAAATTGAGTAAAAGCTGTTTGCAAAACAAACCTTTTTCTACTATCTCGGTTAGCAAAAATTTAGAGATGTGTAGTCTGAGGGAATAGGATAATCTCTAAACTGCAAGATATCAGGTCCTGAGAGAGCAGAAATACCAGACCCACAGACAAGGATGAAATGACTCCAACATGTACTGAATTGTGAATAGTGACTGACAATGTTCTTCTCCCAAATACCCCTTAGGACAAAGATTCTAACCTTGCAGAGGGGAGATCAAAAAGCTCTTTGCCTTGAAAACTGACCTAAAAATAAATGACATT